TGGCATAATCCCATCACTCATGCATGAACATGAATTCGTTGGCCTGCAGCTTCCGAGATTATTTCGAGCTTGTTATTTTTACACAAACTCATGACACTAGGGGGCGCTGTTCATGATACAGATGTACATGTACATCTTATGTATACTTACACCCCTTAATCTTACATCAAAACGGCGCATTTAAAGTTTTCGTACTTATTTTCCCTTTTTCAATACTATTAAATACATTTTGCTTGTTAAGAAGTTCGAAAATGACCTCAAAATCCACTGTTTTGGTTTCTCAACACAAAAAGTGTAAGGAATGTTCCAATGGCTTACCCCTCCCCAGCCAAAAAGTGGGGGGAGATATATACCCCCATATCCCCTGGTATTTACGCCCCTGGCATAATGAAAGTTTGTAACAACTATACTCCTCAGGGCTGTAGTTATGGTATTTATTACATTTATTCGGAAATTCGCTGTACAACAATTTGCATACAATTAGGATACTTTCAGGTTTTGTACACAACAACTATTTTGGAGAGTTTTAACTGCTTTAGAAAATTCTTCGGTGAACAAAACTTGTCAGATATGCACAAAAACTGATTGAAAAGAACTAACACCTTTCATTTTTTTGCTACTATTGAATTTGTTCAACTGAAGATCATGAGAATGTAAGAAGGGGCATGGAATGATTATGTGCTTGAATTTATGTCGTGTTACAAATACATGCAAGTAAAATGTTTACAGTCATTGAAGCGTACAGTCTTAAAAAATAAATGAAGACGTTCCTGTCTGTACCGACCAATTAAAACAGCTCTGCAGCAATTGATGAATTCTGGAATGACCAATCAAATAGTAGAGCTGCCTGATTGGTCCTTTAGAATCTGTGACCTGCTGGATTCATGGAATTCTTTGATTCTTACAAAAAAAATAATTACAACTGGCCACCAATTAAATATATAACACAAATAAAATATATAAATGCTACTGTCAAATGTTCTACTAGAAAAATAAATTAGTAATATCAATCCTATTATTGGAACACCAGACATGTTGTTAACACATAATCAAATTCACACTGTAAGAAGTTATAGTTTACTAGCACTAGCCTTGCAAATAAGATTGAATATTCAGATCAAATGAAATCAGATTTTTACTTGAATACAGATAAATAAGCTGCCTACTGAATCCTACCACCAGAAATTAAAGCAGATACATTAAAGCGCACAAATTAATTCTTGGGCGCTGATTTTTGTTACGCGCTGTATTCGTAACGGATGCCAGATAAACACGCAGGGAGCGAGGCTGGAAAGATCTGTCAGCGACCTGCTCGCAGCGAGCGACTGGAGGCTGGAAATATGAGTGTGCTGCCCGAGGGTGATGGCTTCAACCCGCCTGGCTTGAGGTCAAGTGAAAAGTAATCCTGCGCCTCGTTCCGTTCTTGTCAAAATAATCCCGGCGTGAACTTTAACAATTATAATCTCTATTTGAATTTGGTCCCCTTAACTGAGTTTTTGTTCTCGCAAGAATGAATTGTATGCTTCAAATTTGAAAATTGGAAAAGCAAAAACATTTCCATCTTAAAAAAGGTAGGCATTTTTGGCTGATGTACCTTTTATCATAACGTTGTCTCAAAAGGTCACAACGTGGAGTTGTTATATTTTCTGCTGAAGTTTGCATATGCCTCGTCCTGCACATCTCATTATGGTACATCACAAAAACAATACAAATTTGCAGGAATGTTTTCCACAGAAGTTTCATAACGATATGACGAGAGCCACATTGAATGGAGGTCACACATCACAGAATGGCCACACGGGACCTAATTAAACCCTTCAGAATGTATCAGACAATATGAACCATTCCGAACATTTGTTGAATGACATGCCTTTTCTGCCCATCTCCCTCTGGATAAAAAAAATCCATAAAAACAGGAAGCGACAGTCCCTCAAGCATGTTATTCACATCACTAAGCTGCAAAAGCAAAGAGGAAAAAAGATTATACACAAAATAGTCGCCAAAAGATGACAATACACACAAAAGCCTGTCATATCGAAAACAGCTGGAAAACATTATAGATAAAGTATAGACTACATTTGTCGCTACAATAAAATGACTACAGTGCAAATCTGCCGTTAAACCTATACAACAAGAAAACATACATCACCAGATCAAGATCATATAAAAATGATACAAATTATATGAAGATAAGATTGCCACTGATAGAAAACAACTTCAAACAACCAACAGAATATTTATTTTTACATAAGATTATAAAACATTTCTTCTCTGCAAGTTCAGAGGCATGTAGGTTGACCAGAGTTAGAAGTTTTTTTTCAAATAGACACGTTTCAATCAGGTATTTGCCCTTAAAACAATTCAACCTTTAAAATCAACGTTAAAAAAAAAATCATATAAAAATAAATTTTCCAAATCATCCAGACTCAAAAACTTTTCATGAATCTTTTTCTCCGTTAAAAAAAACAAACTAAATTCTAGTGAAGAAAAAAGGTTTCCTCACCTTGGGGTAAAAAAAAACTACTCCATTTTTGTTTTGTTTTATAAAGTCTACAATTATTTATGATTACATGTATACACAGTGTTCAAGCCCACTTCAACTTCTCTTATTGCATTGTGGGTGAAATATGCAGAAGCACAACAAATATAGCAAAACATTTCGCACAGAATCGCCACAGTGAGGCTGTGTTAGCAAAAACTAATCTCTCTCTTTTCTCAAAGTATGAACGTTGCTAAGTCATCATACAGCCTCTCTTTGAACTCAGCTAGGAGAGAGAGAAAACCAGCAACACAGAAAGAGCACACAGTCGTGAATTTCTATACGCCCGAGGACAATGCTTTGTGTTTCCCTTTGTCCCTGTTATATAACACTCTCCCATAGGCTAAGCACATAACCGTACGATCGAGGACCGTTTTCAACAAAGACCCAACGCTCGAGGACTGAAAGGATCTTTTGTTCTCCCTTTGTGTGTCTGTCCTCTATCGTAAAACCATACATGTACACATTTGTTTGCTGGTCACTTGATACACACAGATTTTTGGTGTTTTTACAATTAATATGTACAATAATTACAAAAATGAAAACAACTTCATGTAAAGGTTGAAAAAAGGAATGGTTCGTAAGAAATGTGTCGAAGCAATTTTGTAAAAAAGTGTGATTATACAAAGGCCCAGTATGTCAAAACCTTAGAGTTTGATACATAATAATCAAACGCTGTGGTGGAAAACGAAATACAATATTGTTTATTAACTGCATAAAAAGCTAAATATCTGGTCACTGGAATGAAAACAGAGGTATATTTTTGACATTTGAATGTTTTTTTTTTTTTTATATGGAAGAATGAAAAAAATAACCAAGACCTACTAATGGGAACAAATGGGCCATCAATGCAATGCGATTGCAATGTTTACTCATAAAATTTGAAGAGAATAATATTTTGTTAAATTTGTTAACATTGGAATATCTTCTTGCCACATGTAGTCAATACATGCCTTCGTATTTGTTTTACGAAAAATATACATCAATATATATATATATATTGGTGTTACGCTGCACATTTTGCAAAGCATATGGAAAAAAATTTAATCTAAACTTCCCCAAAACTCCCTAGGCATTTTTGCTGGGATGCAACCTCAATCCTGCAGAATCCTCCAGCTGCCTCCATGTAAATATCCTGAATAGCCAAACTTTTAGAATTTTTAGTTAACCTCACGCAATATCATATACGAAGTGTCACATCAACTAAGCTCCCTTTTCTTAAAGATTATTTTTATACTCAAGCAAAAATTCCTTGATGTAACAATTTGAAGTAAAGAATTTGAAGTAATAGCAAAGTATCTCTGAAGTTGAAGCAAGCAAATTTCAGCATGAGAATTACACATTTCCTAGGTAGCAATAAAATAGAACACATAAAAGCCATTTTGCAAAATACATAGAATACAAAGAATTTTATTTTTGCCTGCTCTCAAACTTTTTTCCCAGCAATTCTAGGAAGTAAACTATATAACTGCAAAACATACTGCATCTGCTTTTTTACTAAAACTGAATGAAAATGAATAAATTTATCGAGTGAGTTGCTGAATACAATTCTTTATATTTTTTCTCTTTGGGACAACTTTTACTAAGATATCAAATTCTGCTTCTTCAATGGCACAAAAGACAAGTTTACTTCAACCGAATTTATTTGTTTTTAATTTTGCATTCTTACAAAGTGACCCAGTCTCAATGTGCAACACAAAACTTGTTCCCTTACAGCACTACATGTACTATATACAAACTCGTTTTTTAAATATTTACCATCACAACAAAAGCCATATTATAAACCAAAAAGATTAGAGATTCCCAATTGCATAAATTTTACACATCTGGCCACGGTATCAAATGACCCTGTTATCAAACTTCCTTAATAAACTGTACAAACGCATTTGGAGCGCCAGTAATGTAGTCGGGTCCATGACAAGTCCTCCCAAGACCCCAAAGTCTATCAAAAGTCATCCACTCCCTAGTCAAGTCACAAGCTATCCGCATGAACCATGACAAAGGCATTCCTTTGCTAACACTCGTCAGGGTTCGACCTTAACTTTTTTTGTCAATAGCAAGCCGGGCTACTGAAACAGACTCTTAACTAGCCCGCGGGCATTTTCACTAGCCCGCATCTTTTTTCTTTTATAGAGTGTCTCATAAACAACAATGTGCATACATGTAAAACGTCTATCCTGAGGCAATCTTGTCAGTGTTTTTAATCAACAGATCTAATAATTTAACCCTAAACAGTTAATAAAATTAGACACAGATTGATACAGGTTTGCTTTCTGAAGTTAATGATTTATTTCATCCTGTCCTTTCATCTTTGCCGTTGACCAATAATTTTTGACTTGCCAGCCGGGCTACTTCAGGAATAGTTTGACTAGCCCTCCGCTGTTTTGACTAGCATTTGGCTAGCGGGCTACTGCTAAAGTCGAACCCTGATTCATCCCCCGTTACGTGTGAAAGGACAAAGCCAAGCGTGCAATTTCTGTTTTTCCGTCTACCGATCACTCAATTTCTAGTCGCAGCTTAAGCAGTTTGTTCTTCATTTGTGTGCCGTGCAGCTTGCAATAAATACTGCCGTCCACCAGCAGCAGGTTTCCGATCATCAGCGTCCGGTTGCACTCGCTGCACTTCTGACACCCTTTGTGGAAGGTCTTGCCCTCGGCTTTGGCCATCTCAGTCAGGTAGACCGGCCGCTGGCAGGCGATGCAGCGCTCCACTTTGGGCACGAAGCCCCGCTTCTTTGGGGACGGCTTGGGGGCCGGGGATGCCTGAGTTGGGGAGCTGGTGGTGGTTGTTGAAGTTGGGGTAGGAGTTGGCTTGTCTTCGTCAATGGTTGTATCTAGATTTTCCTGTGGAAGGAAAAAAGTCAAGTCAGTGAACTGGTTGTAGATGTTTGCAGCTTTATAACTCTGGCCTTTCACTCATTTTGGATTCTTGTGACTATCGCTTTTAAAGTGAATTTGAATGATAAATTATCACTGAAGTTATGACAACTATGGCCAGGACAGACCAAAAAAGCAAGATTTTGACGTCATAACTGAACACTTCCTGTAGAATAATAATCTGCAAACTGGAAGAAACTACAACACTTTAAAGAAAACTAAAAATGCTAGACCTCAAGAGCCAGCCTTTTGTCCTCTGACTGAGTCACTGACTGACTGATCGACTGAGTCATGGAGTATGATTAACATCCTGAACTAAGACTCTCTGGTCCAGCTCAACTAAGCAAGCCAGGTTTTGTATAAACAGCTGATATTCCGGCCTGTTTTTTTGTAAAGACCATAACATGCATATGATCCACCTGTCCATTCGTTGTCAGCAACGGATATAATAACCACTAATCTACCTTTATGGCTGTAGTGTCATCGTCAGGCATGGTCTCATCGCTAGACATGGATTGGCTGATGCTGTCTTTTCTGTCCGGATTGGAATTTTCGCATGATTGATTCGAAGGAGTTTTCTGAAGCTAAACAAAATCGTTCAGAACAAAAAATACAGTGATTGACCACAAGAGGATATTTTAAAAACACTGATGGTCAACAGAATGAAGGTGACTTGTCAGACAATTGTAATGTAGTAAGCATATCTGATGGCCATGCAACCAAGCAATAACATGCAGTACCTAACAAGCTGAATGAGAGTAGATTGATGAAAGTGATTTTAAAAAGAACATGCCATTCCCGTCTTTAAGGTCGGTATCCACAAAAATCATCAAATCCACTAAAATTATAAACGTTTTCATTGACAGTGTGGTGTGCCAAGAGCGTCAATTCTTTTGTCATTGATTACTGGAATTTTTTTGGAGGAGTGTTATAGGAGGCATTTAGTCTGATACCCAAATTTTCAGTGCTTGAAACAGTGCAGGAGTAAGGTGGAGTACTAGTGAGCTTCTGAAAGTTTGGTCATTTGGAGTGTTTTCTAAAAGTAAAATGGCTAGCTGAATGTTTTGATGAAAGGGTTTGATAAAAAAAATGCTGACTGACAAGAAAAGTACAGACGGTAAAATGACAGGTAAGTACAGACGGTAAAATGACAGGTACAATGAACATGAAATGACATGAATAAGCATGAAGTGAGACAAGATCACTAAACAACGAACCGACAAAATGGGTGAAAACTGAGAATGGGTGACAACAGAAACATAGCATGAAAATGGAATATATAAGCTGACAAAGGAATCAATGAACAAGTAGGAATTTATCTGCAAGACTGGTGTGGGGTGTGGAAAATTATTTTGAAACCAAACAAAGTTTTAAAGAACTGGTGGGTCTGGCTGGTGACAAAATAATTATTTTTGGAACTAAAACCTCTCCCAATCCCATCAATTGTGACTTTTTATTTTCGGGGTTTAATATATTTTTTGGCTGGGTCCATTACTTCATCAGACTTGTGTAACTTTTGCGGAACGACTTGCCCAATTTGAAAATTAATTTTCCATCCCTGTTCTAAAACAAAAAACAAAAAGTTAAGCTTTGCAAAAAAAAAGGGTGGAGTTTGAAACAATGAAAGGAAACAGATGATACAAATGAGTGACGGTGCAGATGTTGGCATCAATAATAATTGACAACTAACTACAAACGACACCAACATAAACAGAGACAAGAGAATCAAACAGCCATAGTAGATAAGAACACTGGGGGAGTACGAAGAGCAGTACTGCAGGGGTCCGGACCAAGAAATTTAGCTTAAGCGCAAGACTACTTCAGGCTGGGTAGATCGATAGGCAAAGAGAAAAACAATATATAGGGTCTTACTTCTCAGGGAATGCAAAAGATCCCGTCAAATGACATTTTCTTCAATGTTATTTACCATGTTTACAGCTATTCTGGCATCCTCCCTTACAAATGTGGCACATTTCGTGCTTCTAGAGTTCTAAAAAAAATTGTCAACAGAAATATCTCCTGCATTTGGGTTGCCCATTCCCACCACAGGTCACATCATGCTGCTACTCAAGGTACAAGAATCAAATTTAACTATAATGCTACATGCCAAGAAAATAAACTACACATGTACTCTGATATTTCCTCAAGAGTCCCGGTACAATCTCATTTAATATCCCCGACACATGCCTTCCTTTTTGTGGGTTCAGGCGACAAGACGAAAGTAAATGTCTTAAGTAACACTACCAGAAAGGACAGAAATGCTGCTTTTTGTATTTCAGTATTAACTACTCCCATGTATAAGTTTGACCTTTAACAAACTATTTAGGGGAATTTTTATAAAATTTTATGCAAGAAACAGACACCCTAAACCGGTTTATACAATTAATGCCCGATTTAAATCCTTAAATATTTGGGCAAATTTGGCGCAGCAAACGCCATATACTGCCTACCTTGTGGTTTGATACAACCACTACTGGATAATACCATGGCTGGTTGATTCTCCTGGTCTCTGTAACATAGAAACTGGTATCTGCCTCACGAGTGTGAAAACTGTTTTTAAATTTCATATCCAAAGAATCACCAAATTTTGAAACAACTTTTTCAGAGTCTGAGACAGACGCCAGTCCATGTTTGCGTGTTGTTGGGTAGACAGGGCATTTTCGTACCTTAATCATGCTGCCACCATTTCAGTCATATACCTTTATCCAATAACAGTACTGAATGATTTTTTTGTGCAAAATGGAACCAAACTATTTTGCTTTCCAGCCTCGCTTTGGTTACATTCATTTGAATGGGAAAAATCCAAATGGCCGCAAGATGATGATGGTCTTTTGTCCAATGGTATAGCAATTCCTCCATGCTTATATTTAAAACTGGACATTGACAAGATAAAAGGTATAATTTTCAATTGATGCCTGAAGGCTCGGTCTTACTTCAAGCAAATTTTGTGAAAATGCTGCTCAAATTTGGCAGCGACACCACATAGCATTCTCATGGAGCGTTTACCATTCCTGTGCCACAGCGCCCTGCCTTGCCCAACAAACACACTTCACAGACCACAGAGACACAGAGAGATTCAGAGTTTTAAAATACCTTCGTCCTCTTCCTTTCCTACAACCTCTACCTCATTTGACTTCTCCCCCTGACTAGCGTCATCTGCAGGAGACTCCTTCTGGCTATCATCTTCTGCCTGCTTACTGGGTGTGGGCTCTGCCTTGTCCGCTACGTGAATGATGACCTGAAAACAAGTTTCAATTTGACACAGTTGCTAACGAATGCAGTCAGCAAGGCTTACAAGAATATGACTCATGAGTTGGTATAGACATCTACGTGTTTTATACAGATAATAAACCCTGGCCATTTCTATTTACGCACGGAGATACTGTGAAGCCGTCCTGTGCGCAGACATTTTGAATTCATGTGCGTGTTTGTAGAACATAATGAAATTAGATGGAGTGAATTTTGAAAGTGTACTCTAAATGCAACGCGCAAGTACAACATACTCAAACAACTTAAGCACGTAATGATGGTTGAAAAACCTCACGGCAAAAATCATCTGCTGTGGATACGCGCACGCGTCTGTGTTGTTTGCGCAGAGCAAAATGAAACACCTCATTTACTGATCAAACGTTTCGTTTTTGGCCGTATTGGATTCGATAACGCACCTGTATAGAATACAAGCACAGATATGCCAACAGCTTTACAACAGCCGTACACAATTTTGAGTTTTCCATATGTTTGTGCACAAACATGAATGGGCCCATCAGGCATTACTTTGTACATCAAGTCAGCGCTCTAGTAATTTAATATAGCTGTATGATTGGCTGCCAAAGTTTATTTTGGCAAAGACAGCAATGTTGCAAACTCCAAAAGATTTCATAATCTATTAAGAATAACATTAGTTTAACTACTTACTTGTTTTTCTGGTGCTGTCTCTTGGTTAGCCTCATTTTGTTTGTTAGAGTCTTCCCTCTTGCTGTTGGAGCGTGGCTTCCAGGGTAGCGGGGCCTTCGCGACATTACTTCCAGCTTGGAACTTGGACATTCGGTCCTTCAAGCTCATTGGCTTGGCCTCAGGCTCCTCTTCACTTTGGGAGTCCGGCTTGTCCTGGATGGTGGTGTTAGCTGGGACCTTTTTCTGTTTAGGAGGGGACACTGGTTTCTTCCCGCTTGGCCTCTTGGTTTCACGGTTCTGGGCAACTGAGTTGATGGCCTTCTCTTCAGGCTTGGCTGGAGCCGGGGCTGGGGAGTTCTCTTCGAAGGATGGCCGTTGGCTGCCAACCAGAGACCAACGCTTCATGGCTCGGGGAGCGCTGCTGCTGTCGCTTACTGCCGGCTTCGCAGGGGTGACCGACTTGGGCTCAAAGAGAGCCATATTGTGTTTCACATTACCCCGTCTGGGTCCTGCAGGTTTTTCTGCCTTAGCCTTCGCCATCACACGCGGCTTTCCTGATTGTTCAGCCTCAGCAGGCTTCTGCTGTGCAGGTGAGGGCACACTTTCCTCTTTTTCAGTTTCAGTTGCAACAACTTTCTCCTCCTCCTTTGAGTCTGTTGGCAAAGACACCGCATGTTCTGGAAATGGAACCTCTGAAGCAGGCGCTTCTTTTGAGTCCTGATCCTTCTCTGAAGGGAATAATTCTTTCGCCACTGGCTCTTCAATGGGAGAACCAATTTCCTTTGGTGAACCAATCTCCTTTGGGGATAATACCTCCTTAGGTGATGATGCCACCTTCGGGGTAGATGCTGCCTCCTGAGGTGTAGATGCCACATCGGGGAATACTACCTCCTTTGGAGCAGCCACTCCTTTAGGAGATTCTACTTCCTTGGGAGATCCGACTGACACTGGTGGAGGTTCCTCAACTGTTGGGGACTTGGACCTGGTTGGAGAGGCAACAGCTTTTGGGGAAGATACCTGTTTTGGAGATGCAACCTCATTGATGGACGTTGGACTAGATACCTCCTTCGGGGATGATACCTCAATGGGGGAAATTGCCTCTTTTGGGAGTTCTGGCTCCTTGGTTGGTGAGACAGCCTCTTTCTTAGCGTCAGCTTCTTTCTCTTTGGGCTTTGCCTCATCCTTCTTAGTATACATGAACCTCTGCTTGGGCTCTTTGCTGTCTGTCCTGGTAACCGGTTTAGCCTTCAGAGAGCTTGGCGAGATGGGCGACAGGGGAGATGTGGGTGATTTCTTCCCCTTCATGGCTTCTGTTAGTCAACAACAGAACACTAATTACTGGCAAAGAAATTATCATTTCCACATACTGCACATAGTGTCAAATTTCAACAGATTTTAGCAGACAGATAACCGAGCAGTATTAAAAATTAATGAGGTCTAATGAATCATGTCCCATGGTTAAGAATCAGATGAATAACATGGAGTTGACAGTTACCTGATGAAAAATTATTGTTAGTATGTCTTGAATGTGACAATGCTATACATACAGGAGAAAGCCTGTGCCACTTTTACCTCAACGTACGTGAATCATAAAATCTGCAAACCCCAAGGTGCACTATTTACTCAAAAAAGGCAATCATTTTTTTCAGTGCATGAAGTTTAATGTTTTCAGCCACCAGCAACTCAAACAAAAAATTTTTCTATTGAGGCTAAAGTTTTTCTCAAAAAAAAGTGAAGTATTTAATCCAAATGACATGACTTATGTGTCCCAGTTGCCTTTATATCAACCATTTGAATTGCAAGCATTTTACTGATGTAAATTTGATGACCAACTTTCCACTATTATAGAGGGTACTGACTTTAGAGAACATATGACTGAAAAATGTTGACTACATTTGCTGGCACTCTATAAACGTATTCTAAACGTGCTGTTAGTATTCGACAGCAAGTACATCTGCATAATTATGTACAGGACGTATTAGTAAGCAGAGCAATAAGTCAGTTCGGTATCTCGATGAAGTAGTCCATGTCAAAGGTCATTCCGGATACTGCTGACGTGGTGATACGTGATGTTACGCGAACGCCCATTCTGCTTGTACTTAACACGCTAGCGTCATGCGCCCGTCTCTCTGCGCATTCATGTGCCTTCTATGAGCGTTCGATTATCCCGAATGACCCATGACCCATATCATTGTGCGCATGCGCAGTTGAATACTGAACTGGCTTATTGATATGGTCTAAAGTCTAGATTCACTGTTGTCAGGATTGACTCTAGAAAAAATGACTGAAACATGACAGAAACATCAGATGGAATGTGGCATGCAGCTGCAGTAGAACAACAGTGCAAGTACCTGAATTGTCAAACAAATTCACACCATGCATAGTAGTGGCACGAGGTTTAACATGCAGTGCAGTGTTAGCATCACCATCACTCTGAGCAGGGCCCAACAGACCGGTAAGACTGCTCGACCGCTGTTTCGGAGTCTCAACAGCTGTGGCAGCGATTTGGCCACTGGTGCCAGTTAGTGCAGGGTTAGTCTCATTCCCAGCCGCTTTTTGAGCCCCCGGGTCATTGTCATGAGTGGTTAGTAGGGGTTCTGTGTCGGTGGGATTCGCAATTGGAGGTAACGCTATGAGATGGGAAGCAAAGGGGGGTTGGCCTGTTGAGGCAGATCTTCGCTTCTTAAGGCGTGGTGGGGGAATGGGATCACAGGTTGCTTGGTGCTGATCATGCCGAGGGGGTTTTATGGGTGCATTTTCATAAATTGGCGTAATATTCTGTGGATTTGTTTGCTTCGCTTTAGAGAGATCATGATCATGCTTGGCCCCTGTGTCACTCAAGTCTTTGTTCAGGCTACCAGTTGGTTTCAGATGGACCCCAAAATCCACTAGCTCGTCTTTGACTTTCGCATCAGGTTTCTGTGGTCTGGGTGGCGGTTTGGGAGGGGGATCGATGGGTTTCAAATGGACCCCCAAATTGGCAAACTTGTCACCATCTGCTTCCTTTGGAGAAGCCTGGTTATCCACCAATCGGTTGCCTTCCCCTTTTTTCATTAAGCGTGCTAAATCTCCAGTGTGGTGCAAATGCATGTCGGGTTGGGATAGGGGTCGGGCTGACCGAACATTCACCCCACCCAGGGTGTGAGATCTCCTTTTTGCAACTTCCACGTACTCATGCTTATCAACTTTTGGCACTTGAGCTGCAGCCTGATCAGTTGTCATTGGACTGTGGGGCTTGGCTGTTTCAGACCCGGCCAAGTCGATGATGTTACAGTAGTCAGAGGGAGATGGCATGCTGCGTGATTCGTAAGAACTCGGGCGGGATCCCATGGTCTTGGAACGCCCGGTTCGCTTGAGGACATTGCTAAGCTCGGACATAAAGGGCGACTCTGGCTTCTTTGCCGAGGAAGTCGACAAGGACTCTGGCTTCCTTGCCGAGGAAGTCAACAAGGACCCTTCTTTTTGCTCAGAACTCTCTGAGTCAGTTCCCCAACTGATCAGGTCCGTGCTGGGGTCAGGGGTCACTGGGTCAGCGCTACCCGATGGAGATGACCTAGTCTCTATGGAGGAGTTGACTGCAGTGGGTGTTTCCTTATGGTCAGGGCTTGTGGACAGGGAGTGTGGGACTGCCAATGAGTGTGGTAAGTTGGGGACAGTGTTTGGCTGTGCAGGGGTTAGCATATCACTTGTAAATAGGCTCTCTGTTAGAAAAAAAAAAAAACAAGCAAGAAAGGAAAAAGAAAAGGCAATCAACAAACATTGGCAACAAACATTGGCAGCATAAATTGGACTGATTCCTACCAAATGAGTCTCATTTCACAAAAAGGGTCACATGCAGCAACATAAAACAGGAGATACTGAACAGTTTTTTGGTAATTGCAGTTGAAGGAACTTTTTTAATTAATTACTTTTTCTTCTTAAGCTGTCCCATTTCGTTGGAAAGTATGCAATATTTTCTAAGTGTCATTTTAACGAGACAACACGCTTGGTTTATCAGTTGTCTCCTATTAGAATTTTTTTGACAGTTATTTTACATTTCATACCATGTCACCATCCCAAGATTTTGGGATATATGATTAATGTCCAGTATCTCTCAGAGTTTTTCAGTAAGAAATTTGGCAAGAGATCAGCAAATTACTGTGGAGATCTCCACGATTTCAAACAAGAAACTTGTATAAGATAGTTTTCAAAATTCAACAAGTCAGTTAGTAAAACCACCAAAAAATGTTGGACAAATCCTGAAAATCTTTGTCATTTTATTACAATTAACCAACAGTCAGATAGGAAAGATTTTAAGTAATAACGTAACTTTCATGTAAGGGCAGTTTAGGGTGAACGGGGATGGTAACATTATAGGAATGTCACGGTGCTGGGTTTGATCTGGGCTTGGCGGGGTTGGGGCAGAGGTCGGGGTTGCGGTGGAGTTTTGAGGGCCGGGGGGCAAGGGTACCAAGACACAAGGCAGAGAGAACATGGTAAAACATTGGGCTTGAGAGACTTTCCAAGCATCTCGGTTTAGGATCAGGAATTTGGTCACAATGCAATCACAAAAATAACGGTTTGTGTTTAAAAGCATGCTAATGCTAAATTCTCCCAACTCTAAAATGTAAACATGTGTGCCAATCTAAATTATGGCGAATCAAAACTTTCAAAAACAAATGCTCAAACTGAGAACAAATATTGTGCAATTTTTTTTTTCGATCTAAAATGAAAAAAAAATAAAAGGGTTTTACCTTTGGATCATGCATCTGGTTTTTTTTTGCACCATGCATCACAAGACTCGTAGGAAAATCAATTTCTGTTTTTTTGTTACCTGTTTCATCAAAACTTTTCGTCAAATCGGGGATCTTGGATTCATTGTCACTGCCGTTGTGTTCGGGTGATAAGGAGTCTCCGCTCGGCGTCTCACCAAGGGACTTGGAGCGGGGCGGGGTGGGCCGTAGCCTCTGACTGGACTTGATAGGCGGAAGGACCATGGGACCAAGGGAGGGAGGGCGAGGCAGTTTGATCGGCGGGGGCCGTTTGGTCTTTGGGATGGCGTTAGCCCGGGGGATAGTGGCGGACTTGTCGTCATCAGTCCGAGCGGAATGAGAGTCGATCCTCGGTGCGGAAGCTCGCTTTGAGGGGATGGGGGTTGTGGGCAGGGGTGGTGGGGTAGTCGGTAGGGGTGGTGGGGTAGTGGGTAGGGCCGTATAGGTGGTGGGTATGGGTGGCGGGGCAGTGGATGGCTTGGTATATGGGATGGCGGATATGGGGGTAGACTTAGGCCTTTTGGGGGCCGGGTCTGTGGGGACCAACTCACTGGGCGTGTCGGCTGGCTTGGGGAGGATTTCGTGTGTTGTGACTGGCCGTTTGGAAGGTCTCTGTATAAAAGACAAACAGTTCAGTTGTTATTAAAAAATTGGCACATGCAAGAACATGAAATTTTGGTTGTGCTACTCCTCAAAGGGTCAATACCACATTGACCTGTGACAGTCTAAGAAACAAAAGTATGACCAAATTGCATTTCTGGAAATTGCCTTGTTGGGGGTTAATTGCATTAAGAGTGTCAAAAGATGTTTGGTATCATTACTGTTTTCAAAATGAATATTTTTTTTCAAAAGATGTTGACAGTATTAGTGAATAATGGCTTTAAAAGATTGTGCCATTTTTGCAAGTACATGTAAAAATGGTGATTGAGATCAGATATGAAGATTAATCGTTTAATATGTCATGTAAATATTTCATGAATACATTTCTGATATGCCATGTGCATTGCAGAGATTAATGCAAATAGCCCTCAGAATATAATCCCTATGGCAAATACTGGCCATGTTTGCCCTTAATCCTTGATAAGAAAACTGATTTGGAAAATTCCATGATTTATTTCTGATGCCTCAAATCTACATGTACATGTAAGGCAAACGTCCCACATATGTAGAAAGTTCTAAAACATGTATGTGGTATTGACCCTTTGAGGAGTAGCACAACCAAGATTACGGGCAAACATGGCCAGTATTTGCCATAGGGATTTTATTCTGAGTGCTGTGGCCTCGTGGTTAAGGGCACTGGATTCGTGGCCTGTGGGTAAAGCTGCGGGTTGTGGGTTCGAGTCCGGCAGGCCGGGGTCATGGTGCGTGTGCCCTTGAGCAAGGCACTTTGTCACTCATTGCTTCTCTCCACCCAGGAGTAAATGGGTACCTGTGAGGGCAGAGATGGTTATTGTGATTGAATAAGCTTGCTTGCGCCTAACAGGCAGCATCAAGCTGTATACTCCCCAGGGAGCTGAGATGGTATTTGGAATGTTTAATTGGCCCAGTGATCAGGGGTATTAATAATACTGTAAGCGCTGTGATTTAGTTTACTAATAAGAGCGTTCTTAAATGCCGATTATTATTATTATTGCAATATCCGCTTTTCCCCCTTTTCCTCGCAGACTGTGGGCACCCATATGTATGTCAGGAGATAACATTTGACTTTTCCACTTCTGCGATTACATATTTCAGCAGGTTCACATTTGACATTACTGAAAACAAGTAAAAGGTTAACACGTACGTGTCCAGGTCTGGTTGTTGCCCTTCTTGCCCTGGGGGCAACTGAGATGCGATGCCGGGCGGCTGGGTTCTCGAGTAGACTGGTGCTACCCAAGTCAAAAATGTCGATCGATTCAGTGACCTCTGCAATAAATTTTAGACAAATTTGGAAGCCACAAAATTAGTATCATTTGAATTCAGTAACACTGAAAGAAATCACAAAATTGTCAAAGACCACTATTGATCATGATGTGGGGATGTCCACGAAGTCACAAAAAGTTTATGGGAAAAAAACTTATCAGAAACAAAAAAAAAAACCTGCTGTGTGAGTTCACTTGAATCATGGCATGAATGCCGTTCACAATGTTTTGGGGATGTTAAAGTAATGAAAAAGATATTTATAACCATCTCCTCTGAATTAACATGATCCATCTGCCATGTCTTGTGTCACATTATGAAGACAATTTAAACGCAAAATGACTTTGAGTAATTTATGCGCAGGGTTTGCTTCATCGGCAGTTTCAAAATTATTTTCACTGATGAATGTTGTCTCCGAGATATAAGGGCATCAAACAAAAGACATTGTTATGTCGTGTGCTTGGATACTGTAATTTCATTGGTCTAGGACGGCCACATGTCTGGACAATAAAAACGCATGTCACACACTGAGGGTGATATCGCACTGCATTTATTGCGCGCGTTGGGCGCGCGTGTGGAACCAGCCGGCATGCTAGCTTTGCTTAATGAGAACGCCAAACGCTCAGACGCTGCAACGCCAAACGCTCAGTCTCATGTCCGGCAAGACATCAAAACCTTTAGTTATCAAAGGTTACATCGCAGTGATCTAATTTCTAAGACAGTTTCTAAGATCTAATTTCTCAGACAGTAAGTTACAACCGTTTGTCTTTTTGAGTTATTGACACGATATAACAAAACAATCGTTGATGACTGCTTTGATGTGGGTTCGCCTCGGGTGCAATGCGCCCCTCGGGTGTTAAAAACATCATATCCCACATCACAGCAGTCAACATTTGTTAATTCTCAGCTTTTTACTGAAAGAATCTTCCAATTTACCTGGCGGTGTTATTCGAATCTTGCTCTCCTCTTGTTGTTGTTTCCTTTCCTCGTGAGTCGCCGCCGTGAAGCTCTTCTGCATGGGACACGGAAAAGGGCACGAGAGAGGGCACATAAATTCCTGACATTCCTCCTCCGGCTCCTTGAAAATGTCTTCCTCAAAATACCAAATGGAATCGACGTCTGGCAAGTGCCCGTTCATCATTTCAGACTGTTGAGAGTTTCTTCTTTCACAGGAAACGAGGGACTTTAGATTCAGGTCAAAACTTGTTCCCTGAATGGAGACGGAAGGTCTTGAGCAGTTGTCGGTGTCAGGTCTTCACCACTTAAGCGTACTTTTTGAATTTGTCAGTGTCAGTCAGGACTGAAGAATTTGAATTATAAAACAGAGAGAAGGCCTAGCGCGTCGCATCAGGTTGCACGGTGTTCTAAATGCCACATGTTTTATACCTTTTCCGTTTCTACTGCCCCTCAAAAAAGTTTGTGGTGACTCACAGCCATGTCTGCCTGAGACTGTTTCCTGCCAATTAGGGCCGTGAAACGTATTTGACGTAAAAAAAAAAAAAAAATACTGGCAAGTCTGAAACAACATTTCCCATTGCCTGAAATCACCTTTGACCATTCCCAAAAATAAATAAACCACTGGACGTATGAGCTGAACCTTCTGCGCAGGAATTCATGTTGTTACAGAGCAGAAGGGATCTTTTTTATTCACGACATCTTCAAGACAATTTTATAATACATATTTAATTTTAGATTGGAGTTCCCATTTCCAATTTTAGTCAACGATATCGATTTAATCACAATTGCTTCACAAAAGCTTTATTGTATTTTCAAACAGCGGCTACTTTTCTTTGTACATGTGTGTAAGCCTTCATTTTGTGCAATCTTTTACATGTATACCCAGTGGGGCATAAACCCTAACCCCCTACTAGTTCCTCAGGACTACCCTGCTTAATCCAACAGAGTCCAACCGGAGTTCCCTGCTCAATCCAGTTGTCTGCTGAATCAAACGGAGTCCAACTAGGCATTATAATGCGGTTCAGTTGCCTGCTGAATCCAACATTTTACATCAGGAATGTACACAAGGGGTTTACTGCTCAATCCAACAGGCTCCATTGGGTATATGACTTAGTTGAATCCTGTTGGGTTCGGCAGGGTTAGGGTTAAATTTCACAACTACTGTTAACAGGCCCCTTCATCACCACACAGAACACAAGTTGAAGTATGGTATAGTCAACACCTGGGCTACTAATGTATACCACAGATTACATACATATTTCCACATGACGACGTATTAAGCAGCTGTTGCTTGGGGAAAATGAAACTGTTTCGCAAATTAACAAATAGCATCGTTGTTTACATTTAGCTACAAAGTCATTATATACATGACACTTGGGAGTAACTAATAACGAAAGCAAAAGTGCATTTCGGAGGAACTCGAGAATTGTGGGCTTGGACCTTGTTTCTGACGATTCTTCTTTCAATATTGTTTCTCATTATGCTGAGAGCTACAAGAAAGTTTATGATGTTTATGACGATTAAGCAAGATTAATTCATCAACTAAATATAGCAGTTTGGCAACCTTGGTGTACACTATAAAGAGTATTTATGGGGATCAATCTGACAGATATGCATGACAAGTGCATACTGAACAAATGTGTGATGCTGGATACCGATACTGAAACTCTCCGGAGGCTTCTTTTTTTCCCCTAGTCACACACATAAGTCACATGCTGCTCCAATGGCAGCTGGCCCAGAGGACTCTGTACAAGGAAATGTCAAGTTTGAGGGCCCATATGTTAAAAAAATCAATGTATGATCGTCTGTACTATTTTTGGTTCTTAACAATTAAGAGGTCTATAAACTTAATTGCATGTATACCGCTAACAGAACACAATGGGTACTGAAAACAAGACCACAAATAAATGTCCATACATGCCCAATTAACAAACAAGTTGACTTTTGTGTTGTAGCAAATTTAAAGGTCAAATAAGGAAACGTAGAATAAAAATCTTGTGCAGGCTTTAGTTGACATATCAAGAGGAGAAAATAAGAAAAGAAAAATAAAAAAAAAATAAATGATGGCTTAATGGCAAACGTGCAAACAACAAACCAAAACACTGACAAACAAACCCTCAGTGACAAAAAACCAAAGGACAGAAGGACAGAAGAAATCTAAAAATGGATCAACTACTTGAATTGAAAGAAACCCAGTCAAAGTGTATTAGTATACACTACAAAGCCAGACTTAGGAGCTAAAACACTGACCATTTCACTACTAATAATGTGCAATGCCTTGACACATATTGCCCCCAAAAAACCAAGATACAGAATTATAACACCAAAAAACCTTCACTGCTATCCAATGATTAGTGGAAGCAGAACCAAGAATGGAAAAAAAAGTGCAGCCAACTTTATTTTTAGCGAAAAGAATTCAGTCAAAAGGAAAGTTGTAAGATTGTACTGCAATCTTAAAAGAAATGTGTGACTGCAATCTTAAAAGTATGTGTGTGACTGCCCTGAATATCAGCAAGAAAACTAGCTTGGTAAGAAGATTGTAGAGATTAGTAGAAGCCAGTTGTGAGTTTTCCCCCAAAACCCAAACCCGGGTTGAAACATTTGCAATTACCCATCGCCTGGCTTTTGTGGCCGGAGGTTGCCGCTGTTGACGAGTGGAGAACTAAGAATAACATGCAAGACATCAAATAAATGAAACCACAAATGAAAGATGTGGAAACAAAATTCTGTCATCACAATATAAACAGCCACTGGCTGCTTACGAGAAAATACACATGCTACCACTGGTGCGTGTGAAGGATGGCATGCAAATACATTTATATGTATTCAGTATACAAATATGAAAACTGAATACAAAACTCGCCCTGGCATTATTTTTTGGTCGTATTTCCATGTCAAGAAGCATCAGCATTTAGCAGCACGGTATTCAATGCTAAAGCATCCGAAACACTAAGTACGGACAGAAACTTTACTTGTTTAGCTATTTAACATGTGCAAGTAATTCTTCCAATGCCATACGAACCTCATCATCCATGCTGATAGTGATAGTAGCACTCTTTCTCTTCTCGCTGGTCCTGGGTGCGGGTTTTGGCGGCGTTGGTTTGTGCTCTGGGGTCTTGGCCACCCCTGCCTCTGTGGCCGTCTTGTTTGTGACATCCTCCGAGCCTGAGCGTCTCTTCAGCTTGGCCTCGAGCTCACTCTGCACAGACACAGCAAAAATGAGAAAGTTACTTTAAACATATCTGAGAAGACATTACCACTTAACGTGGTGTTATCGGCAAACCTCATTTCATCAATTTAACGTGACAAGCTTCTAGTGTGATCTCACAACTTCCAACATTTCTTTTCTTCACTTATCAGTACAATCTGTTCGTAAGAACCCAAAAAAACAGAAGTGGATGCAAGACAGGCTGTGACCTAAAAATGTGCTTTTTGGGGTGCAAAGAAAGCAACTTACCGCAAACGGGCTTGGCATATGCATCTCTGCTGATGTGCGGACTTCTTCCTTGGTGGGAGCTGGTTTTTCTTGACTGAAGACACTGTCTTCAGACTTGCTGAAGCCCTTGGCTAGGCTGGGGGAAAGCAGGCCAGGAGATGTAGTCTCATCCCTACAATCAAAATGAAAATTACATTTTGCTTGTAACACGACTGACACTTTTTGTTTTTGTTTCAAACTTACGGCCTCATCAACAGAGTTTCCTGACAATATATCATACAAACACTGTTGAATCTTGTGCACAATGAGTGGTGCAAGTAGAACAACGCAAAACAAAATGTACAGTAAAATGTACACAACCTACAAGTAAATGTACAGCATAACACATTTCGTCGCATCAGTGCAACAAGGTCGTAACTCCATTCTGCAACAAGTCGTATCTCATGTGAATACGCTCCGTGCAACAAGGTTGTATCTCGACGTCCACTGACTTTGTGTGTACATTGTACATCCGGGTTATATTAAGTGAGATACGACCTTTTGACATTTCACGTACGGCCCATTTTAGGTGAAATACAACCTTGTTGCAGGGACATGACTAGTTTATTGCTCCAAGTACAAATATAGTTACTGTGGATTCCTAGTTGAGAGTAAAGTTAATTACCCAATACCAAGGCATCTTCAATTGCATGAGTACGCACACAGCATAAGTGCACGAGTGGTATAATGTAAATACTACCTATGCACAGCTGGGATGACATCTTTTATTTAACTCAAAAGGCAGTTTTTGATCTAGATAATCTTGAAGAGACAACAGTACCTGCCGATCCTGAATTCTTACATCAGTTGCAAATAGTAGCTAGGGTCAGTGGTTAAGTAGGCTCTTCACAAGCCATAACCCACATTTTCAAAATGGCTACAAGTGGAGTTCACGGTTACAAAAGAAAAGTGGCTTTACATGTTGTAAAAACATATTGCTTGGGATAAACTAAATAATCTCAAAACCACTTACCTCGGTACAATAAACGACCTGGAAAATTATCCAACATACGTGTGAAAAAAAACCTGCAGTATACGCTTTACCTTTTATACAGTGTATTATACATGAGATGGCATAAAATACAGTAAACAGGGCTCCTTCACCGTGTTGCTAAATACTAAATTTGTTACTGTACCAAAACATCTGTTCGTGTTTTGCCTTTTAGTTCGCCACATCTACATGTACATGGAACAAAGTCCATTGCTAGGCAGATGCTTTGTTCATTTTTTCCATGAATAGCAAACAGGGTTTTTCCGTTCTGACTGTAAGACTGGTACCGGTATCTTATCACAGGATGGTTAGGAGAATATAATACAAAAGAGTTAAATCCTAACCCCAAATCCTGGCAGACTAAACAAATAAGTACACAACATGAACGCCTACACAATTTCGCGAAAAACATTTGCATGAAAATGCTTCCAATATTTCTTTGGACAGGTTGAGCAAGTCAAACAGGATGTTTTCTTAATAAAGTGGCATGCAAAAGCATAGTTGTATCCATGGACATGGCCACTATCCTCACACAATGTACCATCCTTTTTTTTTATTTCAAATCTCAATTTAACTGTTCCGCTAACGGAACACAATGGGTACCGAAAACAAAACCACAAAGAAATGCCGATACAAGACTGATTCACACAATGTACCATCCTTTTTTTTATTTCAAATCTCAATTTAACTGTGACTTGATTACGAAGTATCTCTGCTGACAATTGCACCCAACTCTATGCAGGAAACAGTATCCATTGGTTCTAACATATAATTATCTCGATTCGTCCCAATATTAAAAGCGGTCCAAGAACGAGCAACATCCTCTTATCTCCATATCAAGTGGAGTCAGGTTGGCACAGCAGTACTTTCCTCGCCTTCCACCGCTGTGGCCCGGGGTTCGATTCCTGCCTGGACCACATGTGGATTGGGTTTTCAGTCCCTACTTGATTCTGTGGGTTTCCCCAGAATATTCTTCTGAGGTTTTCCTCCCACCTCTAAAACTGTAATTTCTTCTCATTGTCTTCTCTCTACAGGTTTCTTCAGGCTTGCGAGATACAGTTCCTAGGGCACTATTTAGGAATCCTTGGTTTCATTACATAAACAAAGTAAAGTTCTACCCAGAGGCTCAATATAAATACATGTAGTTTCGATAGAACACTTCAGGTATACTTCTTACCCTTCAGTTCCGTCCTCGTCACTGATTGGCCGGTTCAGCTCCCCCGTGGACTTGGATTTGACCCCTAGGCTCTCGTCCAATCCTTCCCCGTCCTCCTTGCCTGGCCGCTTCTTCTTGAAGAAGTTGCGGATGGACTTCCAGGGCTTGAACTTCTTCTTCTTGGCACTGGCGGAGTCGTCTAGTGTGTTATCTTGAATAAGAACAAAAAAGATTTAGAAGAAGAAGAGAGGTTTAAAAAATATGTTTAAATACTAGAAATGGGAGGGGTAGGCTCTATTTTTGTTATTTTGGTACAAACGTTTTAATAGGTTAAATGTTGCAGACAGTTGAACCACTTTTTATCTACGTTTTAAGGTCAAAGTTATAGCTCCATCCCAGAGAGCTTGTAATGATTTACCGGCAGCAGCACTATTAAACATGACTATAAACGAACTGACAATATGTCACACTTGTTTAAGTTAACTCTCGCTGCGCAAAAGCCAAACAGGCTGAATGATACAAACGTTTTTGCCCATGACATGACATTACTACTCACAGGTGATTGGTCTTAAACCGCCAAGACTCGGGAAATAGGCCTTAAACCCTCACCAGCCTTAATACTTTTAATGCAAGCCTTCAACTAGTCATCTTGACTCAAATGGAAAAATGAACCACTTCCCAACCCCATTCTCTCCCAATTTGTCAAGCAATATTACCTGGACATGTACATGTACATGTACGGTACCCATGCACACATGAACATGTGTTCCTGTGCCATTAGCACTAATGGTATTAGTAATTGAGTATGCTCAGCTTAGCACACAAATATTGTGCATGTTATATTTTATAATGCATGTTTTAATGAGCAGAGTTATGTATTGACATGTACGTGCACCACTGTCCATGTACAGTACGACTGATAGGCAATTTGCATTATGTATCAGTAGATGATGCTGAATACAAAGTGCACACATGTACATAAATGAGTACATGTCCAATCTTACAAAATATAATATTTCTCACCCATGCATGTGCAATCTTACTCATTTACACAAAAAAATATGCTGTCTACTTTTTTTACACAAGAAAATGTGCCACGTTACACATACATTTATTAGATTCTTGACTTGTTGTTGACAAATACCGCAAATACATGTAAGATATTAAAGACGAAGACTTCACACGGTTGTTTCCCCCGAGTATATGGGCAATGTTGACTAGCCTTAATAGAGCACTGTTGTACAAACACAATAAAATGCCGCGCTTACTGCCTTACGTGCCCAGGTGTATGGTGTATGGTGCATGTACACATGCAAAGGAAACGACACAGTAAAACCAACAATACAGGTTGTTTGCGCGCTGTCTAGCTACCATCAATGGAGGAACGGCCACAAACAATATTCTTCAGGGTCGGTGAGTACAGCATAGGTAGACTAGTGCATGTACAATGTTGAATTGGTGGAGTGTGACCATTATAAATGCACTAGATAAGCTTGCATAATGTGTCATATCATATCTGCTCGTCTAATCTTTTGATTAATTACTAGCAGAAAAAAATGCAATAGCTCACATTTATCAAAGAAAACACGCCGAAATTCCTCACTTACCGAGATCAATCAAAACACCACCATAGCAAACACGTACAAATCAACCTGTCCACTTATTTTTGACAACCCCAGGCCTAGATGCAAAATCAAATACTGTACAATATGACTGACTTGAACTCCAACTCTACCCGAATGTCACGGAATGTGTACTTTGCACAGATGTGACCATGGTGACTACTTAACTTGGGTCAAATGCTGCCTTAAATTCCTCCCCCCATGATCTGACTGAATGGTCATAAATTTTAAGTACCCATCTGTAGATGTGTATGTATACAGTAATGTTATCTTTACGACTCTTAAAGAGGTTGTGGAATGCTCGAAGACATTTCTGTCATTATTCGGGTATATGTAGCCTAAGGTGTGATGAAATAAAAACGACTATTGTGTCTGTCATGAAATGAGTACAAAAGGTATTTTTGAGAGCTGTTTTTCAGGTCCTGTTTCGACCCGAACGTGCGATTTGTGTAAAAGTCGTCGTTGGGGCAGCAAACAAAACATAGTAAATTGTAACGTAATAAACAGGACTCCCGATGCAGCGTAGTATAAACGAGTCCTGTTTATTACGTCACGATTTTTCTCATTTTACGAAGAACTCGACGACTGTTGATTTCAATTATGCACTCGCCAACCAACAAATTACTCGATGAATTTCAGTTTTATAAATATATATAAACGCACATTACAAAAGAATGGGACTTTGTCATTTTGATATATATGGGTCTACTCTACAATAAAAAAATATAAAAAACCAAAACGACTTTCAGCATTCCACAACCTCTTTAAGCTAATGCTGCACTTCTGCATTGTAAATTGACTAGTACAAAGTGTTGCTCACAGTCAGGATGAAATGGACAGATGTTCTTTGAGCAGACACGTGTCATGAGCTTCTTCCGCTGACATTTATAATAAAAAAAAAAATCATCATCTATGTGTACATCAACAAAATGAATCACATCACAACCATATGTGAAGTGCATCGTACAAAATTCAAATTATTGCATTCATTATGCATGACTACAACAACAACAAAACTACACGCTGATTGCGTATTTGTGTAAATACCTGCTTGCTATGGTTTCCTATGATAGAGAAGCTCTCTTCCAACAACCTGTTGATCACTCAACTATGCACATGATGTCTTCATGTATAAATATCTTGTATGTGAGTCTATAACACGCTGGCGGTTTTTACTACAAAGAACACCCTTCACAAATGCACAACTCCAGTAGCAACAATCCACATACAATGTACATGACCATCGACGCAGGCAGATGTGAATTACTCAAGTGTCATCACCATTGTCTGCTGAGTGCATTAAAACGTTGGGTCCTCACTGGGCAGGGATAATTGGTCGCTCCACGCAAACAAATGGGTGTCGCCCCCTGGTCTGGTCCCGCAGTCGGTCCCCTCACCAAAGCAGGAAACCAGCTCTATTGCCAAGTCTCTGTCTTTCTTCACTGGCTGTGTAATCGCATTATTTACACGCACCTGAGATTAGGGACCTTGCTTGCTGAAAGGATGATGACGATGATGAAGCTTTAAGCCATTGTTGTTAAGGCACAGTAAAGATATGTAGTTGGCTGGACGTGTATACATATGAGTATGCAGGCAAGTGTAAGCTGCTTATCAGGCGTGTTGTGTTTGCATTGTTACATGCCGTGCTCTTCCCAACTTAAAGGACAAGTATAGTCCAACTCTCCTTTCCAAATGTGGACAATAATGCCAATTGAAATCACTGCAGTGCCATAACTTACACGGGGAAAAAAACACACTGGTAATCTTTTAAAGCAATCAAAAACTGCTCCCCTGGCACGGGGAAAATCAACAGAACACCAGTCACTGCCAGTCATGCCCTTTAAATGATTGTCCTTTGAATGATTGTCCTTTGATAATAAAGGTCAAGGGTCATCCTGTATTAAACCGAGTGCCATTGATCACCAGGGGAGGTCTGACGCCTGCCCGATACCAGCATTGTCATTATGTAAATGATCTCGTGTCATATAGATTTTCGCAAACATAATCCATCAAATAAATAAAAAAGTCCGGCTGCATGGCACAGCACTGTGCATGACATCTAGACTGTAGACCCAATTACTCTGTGGTCTTTCATATGACAGTGGCAATCAGGCATGAGGCTGGGTGGCATATTGAGGTAAGTCAATTAATTGAATAATTTGGACACCAAAAGCAATGTGTGAATGGTAACAGACAGAATGGCTAGATTTTCCACTGGATTACACATACTTTTATAAATCTGGGAAAGTTGTGTGCGGTAACCTTGGAGGTAACTTTCTGTAGGGAAAAAAATCTGCCAGCGTTTGCGCATTGTACCTTTGAAAAAAAATGACTGCTGCATGGACTACTGTAGTCTGCCATGTGACTCAAGCTGTGTAGTTATTACTGCACGTACCGGGGTATGTTGTGAACGTACACGTACATCGTACACATCTCTGTGTGTCCGATTATTCTGACCTAGGCCTACAATTCACATGAGTAGTCTAGACTTTCTGGACTGGGCCCAATTTTTTTTTGAGCTGTTAAGCACAGAAATCTACTGCGCAAAGAAAATATCTGACTAAGCAAAAACAGATTACGTGCCAAAAAACATTGTGCGACTCTCACTACAGCAATCAAATCTAGTTCCCGAAGATCAACACTTCGCAGAGCAAGCTGATGCACCCTTTTCACTGAAATGCGTCACTGCAACAGCACCCCCCCCCCCACCACAAAATCGTAATGCCACACAAATACCAAATAATAGCATGAAATTGTCAGATAATGGTTATTGGTTTAGATGAGTCTCCTAATACAAGCTGCAAGTGTGACATTAGAAATTAGAAGTTTAAGTAAGAAAAAGGCCATCATTCATGTACCTTGATCAAGTTCATCTTCTTCGCTCTCCCTCAAACCCTCGGTTGTGTGCTCTTCCCCATCCTGTTGATCGGCGCCCTCTACAGGCAGCTCCTCCTCAACCTCCATCGGCTGTTCGATCTCGGCTGCGGCCATGTTGTACAGCAGCTCCCAAGAGCCAGAAATGTAAAACCTCTTTGAGCTGGCCTTGGAACTCCGATTGTGGTCGTAATCGCGGTCGCGGTCCCGCAATTTGACAAACTCTGGGTAGTCGGATGCGCAGGCTAGATCATCGGCGTCCAGAATCGTCCATTCCGGTTCGATACCCTGCTCCGATTCTTCGTCCGTGCCAGGGTCTACTCTCTGGGTAGGGTTGTCCTGTTTGTCTACCTCTGGGGCATCCTGTTCCTGGGTGGGGTCGCTGCCTGATGGGACTGCTGTTAGCCGCTGTTCCTGTCCAGAGTCCGGTACCGACTGTTCAGCCTCACTGTCTCTGATTGGCTGAGGGGCTGGAGTACCGTTCTCCAACTGACACCCAGCTGATGTTATGGTCTCCTCAGCCTTTGCGGGGACCTGTTGATCAGCGACGGCGTCAGGATTCACTTGGATATACACCTCTTCTCTCTGATGCGAATCATCAACTTGGGGTAACTCTGCAAGGATAACAAAACAAAATTTAACACTCTTGTTATTTTCCACCGCACTTTTGACATGGAGTAAAACAATGAGGAAAAGTCCAACTAATGAGTAACTGACACATTATATGACTTCCTGCGGTGACACATGTCCATTCCGGGGAGTTGTCAAATCTGGTTTAAGTCGGACTTAAGTCCTTAACAGTTGATGAAAAATTGGCACCCGTCAGTTATATGTGGCTAATGAAGAGCACGAATTTGACATTTAAACTCAACATGGATAAAAGTTAAAACATCACTGCTATCATCAATCTTATTTTTATTTAGTTCAGAAACTTCATCTAAGTTTACTTTGACAAGGACACATGAAGGAAGACTTTAATTATATAGCAACATTGTGCAGTGCATACATTCCCACAGCATGTCTACATGTATGTTCTTTACACTTACAGCTTCGGCAGTTTAATTGATTTTGTGGCTTCCGCCTGTATTTAAAATTCACCTAACTTTGACCTTCCGGTAGATCCGGGAAGTAAAGTGACTTCACGTACACGACTAAAAATGTTTATTAATTAATGGTCTATCTGATTATAAAATACAAACATCCTTGATTATTCTATTAAAGAGTTATAAGTGAATATTAAGTTGGTCATTTAAAAAAAAAAAAATCGCATTGTAATCTGATACCTGATGACGTCATCATATCAGAGTAATATACACACCTTGGGATCAGGTTTGATTGTGTTCAAAGTTTCAAGTTAATACCCATAACAGTTTTGAAGAAAAGTCGCGGAGATCAAATTATTGTCCGGGAAAAAAAGAAAACAAAAGACGGGAAAAAAAGAAAGAAATGAAGAAGATATATTCTAACAATTCTAAAAGGTTGATCGGGTTGTACCCGATTAACCCAAAAAGCTTTTTATATTGACAAGTACTGACAAGTGTCAAGATATTATGCCAAATAAAAAAAAAAACATGTTTAGCGTCCTGCCTTTTTAAAAACAAGCAAGGAGAAGGCCCTTTTTTTTCTCTCTTCCCCCCCCCCCCAAAAAAACGACCGGCCAGGCTATTTTTCAAGATGGCCGCCAGCTTTTTTTTAAATGGCCGCCACTTGGACTCAGGAAATGACATACCAGCTTTATATGGACTAGACGCAACAGACAAAGAGGCCAAAATGATGTCACTATTTAAACTTTATCATTTTTTCTTTTTCTTTTTTTTCAACCAAAAAAAAAAAAGGAGGCGGCCTCCAAAAAGGAGGTTAAACATGTTTTTTTTTTATAATTTGGCCTTAGTAAGGGAAGACACAACAAGGTTTTATCTGTAACTTTCCTCAAGTAACTTCTAGCACAAAATGCTTACCCCCGCTTATAAACAATGCACAGTTTAGATATTTACATGTGATCACATTAAGAATAAGAATTGATGACTAGGTTGTGGCTTCCTGCTGGCAAAGCCCCACAGCTGACAATAGTCTGGGAGGGGGCAAGGAGGGGGATACAATGAGTAACGGGGGCTGACGGGTCAAATCCTCATCTGCTAGGAGGAGAACTTACCGCTGAACCTGTGAAGTGGATAGAATCTGACTGAATTAGCAAAGGTACATTTGCTATTGCTGTAATGTTCAGAAATGGATGGATTTTGCAGTTAGTATTTTATGGCACATATTGTTACATTTAAAGGTTTGTGTTCATAGAATGCTGGAGAAACCAAGATACAAATGCTGTTCTTGTAGTCTGGCTTATACAAAACGGAGCACTTTATAGACGTTGGCAAATTGTTAGGTCAGGGAGCCAGACTAGCTGGCTTGCACCTGTTCAACGGATGTGTAACCCATCACAAACAAAATGTGGACTAACTAAATTTGGTAAATCGGGGCAGGATTTGAAGAAAAAAAAATCTGTTTTTTCCAACGATGGCCGGCCAATCATTGTTGGAAATTGATACAAAAGTTCCACTTTTCTTGAAAATGACAGCACACCAGGTGCCATGATTTGACAGGATGCTTGAGACTGTCATTCACTTACAGTCAAGTAAGGTATTTCATAGTAATTTAGTAGTTTTTGTTTTTGATGTTTGCAAATGTTGTATTTTACCTTTAAAATCAACATGTTGCACCTCTAAACATATTGACAAGTGATACACCAAATTTTCCAATCAAAATGTAGCCTCACATACAGTCCTCAAAAAATTAAAGATCCATTTGAGAAAAAAAAAGCTACTCCTGTTGAGTAAATTCTACTTACAAATTTATCAATGGACTGATTGAAATTTGTTTTTGTAGACTAAAACATTTTATGTGCCAATATCTGTACACCAGTACGTCAGGCCTAAAATTCCCTATAAAATAGAAAGTTAGGTTGAAAAGATTCGGGGTGGATCAGATACAAACCGGTCAGCTAACCCACTAGACAAACTTAGAGTAAGAAGTCCCGCACAAACAAGCTTGTAGATCTTTTCTCACTTAAGCTTTCGGACTGATCACCCAGTAGACCTATACATTGCTCATACCTGTACATGTTGTACTAGTGAAAGACAAAACTGATTCACCGATAACTTTTGGCATCCAGGCATCCTAATTCAGTCAATTCAACAATCTCTTACCTTTATTCTTCTCTTTCTGAGCTCGGAAACACGACGACAGCCTTCTTCGCATCATTTTGAAATTGGACACTACTCACTTTTTTTCAGGACGAAGTTTTCAAAACAAATACCGCGTTGCTCAAAGCATGACAGAGAATGCATAAATGGGCTCACTCTAAAATACCACATAGGAAGTCATGGTCGTTTGCAATACTGCTGTTTTGGTTTGTGCAAATCAAATGGTAACGCTGAACCTGAACCTGAGGCTCACACGAAGGTGTCGATTTAATGGGATTTCGCAGTATGACAGCTGAGCTACGACACACTAGTAAAGGCTCAAGGTATACGTATCCAGCATAGGATTGCGGTTGGAAAAAAAAACTATGGCTAAGTCGGCCGAAAGTCAGCCATGATGATAGCAGCATGCCACCCGGCACCTCGTACAGGAAGCCGCGTGATGACTAAGACTTCAATTTTAAGACCTGTTCAGGGGGCAGCACTAAACTGGAGTTGATTTTTGACAGTCCAGCTGCATGTATACAGGATCTATTTTGTTAGTAAACTTTAATATAAAAAGATTCAGAGATCTCTCAAGGGTCAGTTGGTGAAGCATGAAGTAATTGATAAAATACTTTTTGATGGAACGCTTCCAACATGTGCAATGCAGCTGTCTGGGTGTTCTTGAGATTTTACATGTCAATTACTTGTATACATTTGTATATATTTTTCAAGGCATTTGAGGGCATTTCAAGTCATCATGTATTGTATTGTGAGGAACACAGTGATGCCATCTCAGGCCAAAGCAGCACCTTCGCCAGCTCGGGTCATTAGGAGGGGCCACAGTAACATCTGGGGGGGGGGGGGGGCACACCTCAAGAAAAAACACAATTGAAGTTAACTTTTAATTACGATTATATGTTGTGTTTGCTGATGGGGCCGGGGGGGGGGGGGGGGGGCAGTTGGTTCAGAAGATTCAATGTGAAAGAAGCTGGTTAAAAGGTTTGACACCAAGTGGGTGAAGAAATTATTTTATTTCACTTTCAATGTTCCTCTGATGGAACTTTCGATGCATGCTGCATGGGCCACAGTATACCCTTTAATGCAAATCCACTCTGATATTGAGATACCTGGATCTCAAGGACCCCAGTGCAATTGGACCACACAGACTGTCACAAGAGGGCGCTGTTGATAAACTCCAGTCATTCAGCTCAGAAGATGAAATTCTAGTGCATGCAGTGCAAGGACCCGGCCTATCGCTAAGCCTAAGGCGGGGCCAAGAGGGCATGCCCTCTCCCCCAATCAGCAAAAACCATAAGCGTAAAAATTATGCACAGTTGTGTTTTTTTCTGGTGGTGTGCCCAGCTAGCTGGCACTGTGGTCCCCCTAATACCCTGGGCTGGCGACGGTGATGGCAAGGCCACTGTTGGAAGTACAGGCCTTTCAAAGAAAAATGCATTCATCTGGAACAATCTCAATAGAATGCATTGCAATTTTTTTTTTTTTTATACTTTCAACCATAATCAGACCATGTTGTCTGTATCAGGAAAACAATCTACATATTACATTGTACTTTCAAATTGTCCACTGTGTTTCTTTCATGTAAAAGTTTTAAATGTGCCCAAACTTTAAAAAGAGGGAGTGCAACTTGGACTCTTGTCAGTTCATTTTAACTTTTTTTTATGAGAAAGAAATTTTTATATTATCTTTGCTGAATTTCATTATCAAAACCTGTCAATCGATTTTTGATATGTTGTAAACTGCAAGCTTTTTCTTTCACACTCATAGTTTTTAAAAGCCAATTTGACAAAATTTTAAAAAGGAAGGCACACATTGGATAATGTACTATAGGTTTTATTTCCTTTTACATTTTTAGGTTTTAAGTATATGTAAGTATAACACTTTTCAACAAGCATATTGTTCCTGATCTCTATCTTTGTTTTGCCACATACGCTGTGTACACTCTGACTCAGATGGCACAAACACTCATGAATCTCTAGGTGCATAGAGCACAACAGTTCAGCAAAGCGGGGTCATATTTACTCTATTGCATTGTCATAACATCGATTAATATAGACATCTTTCTGTGATCACATGTTTCTCAGTGGCAAGTTTTGTAAAAAAAGACAGAAAAAAAAAGAAGACAAAAGATATAGGGGGCCTAGATGATTTTCTGGAATTTACATATCACGCAACATTACTTGCAACATTAAAAGTACTTATGTTTGTAAATCTAGCAGTCTGAAGACCATTATTCGTTTCTTGTTACAATGTGCATCATCATATTACAGTGTAAAGCTCCAGAGGAATGTACTCTATTCTAACTTTTTAGACACTTTAGGCCAAAAAAAATAGTTCTGCTTCCGGTTTCCCTTCATAGCCCCTACCCTTAATTTTTTATGTGAAAAATGAGAAAAAACACCCCACACTATCAATTTCTACCTTTTACCCTTAATTACAAGCAGACACCCATAGGATCGTACACACAAAAAAATGGCCAAAAAAAGGATTCCCTACCTACCTACCCTATTTTCAAATGTCATGTAATCGGAAGCAGAACTATTTTTCTTTTTGGCCTCAGAGTTTCGGCTTGGCACAGCAACCTCAAATTTGTTTGATTTCAGCCAAATATTATATGTAACTGTTGTCCTGAGCTCTGTACTACTACTAGTGTTGTGCAAACCTGACCTGATACCGAAACTGATCCGAACAGAAACCGACTTCGGGTGGCGCCTGCTTGTCCATCATTTCAACCTCCAATTTGTATGATATTTCAGCCAAATATTAGCAACTGTGTAGCTAATATAAGCACCGGCATGCCACCTGCATACCACCGGTATGAGGGGGTACTAAGGGTGGACCCAACATTTCCCCAAAATTTCCAGGCCACCACAAGGGCTTCAAAATAGAAAATTCAGATTTTCAGGGTTTTTCAGGTCAGTTCGGTTTCGGGTCAGTTTTCTTGAATTTTGTCGGGTATGGTCATTTAAGCGAGTTCAGATCGGTTTCATATTGGATTCGGTTTATGCCTAATGTTTCGGGTCGGTTTGGCCTGGTCAACTGGACCCGATTCACAACATATAGGCCTATTCTGTACCTACCGGTAATTCATTTCAAACTAGCCCAGACCATTGCAATGACATTCATCATCGTTATTGGTGGGATTTAAAATCAGGATTTTTTAAACATTTTTTTAGGTTTGAATTTCATTCGGTTTTATTTTAGAAACGGGATATTCGAAATTGACATTGAAACAAAATGAAGTCAACCATTTTTTGTGACACAAGCTAAAGAAAACAAGTGGAACATCCCCCAATTTACTCTATGGTCTCTGATTGTAAAGTTATGCATTAACTTGCTAGTGGTCTCCTTGGTACACGTATATCCTGCCTATTCGAACTTATCAGAGAGTTCCCAACATTTCATGTGGCACCTCACTGGCCATTTTTTGTTGTGCATGACTATGAGCTGGAAGGGAACTTCCCGTGAAACCATTTTTGCGCGAAACCATTTTTGCTTCTGAAATTTTTTTAAGATAACCGGATTTAGAAATCTCTGATTTCTCCAACCACTTATCGTACATAGTCATAATCATCATATATGCCCATGTTTTACAATTTGATATGTGTCATGTGATGACCAAAACTATTTAAAAAATAGCCAGTCTTAACGAACTGCAGTCATTTGGCCACGCCTTTTGTACGGATAGCTGTCCCTGTGCTCATTAATGCAGCTCACCAGTTGTGTAAGTACGGGGGAGGGGGACCCCACATGCTCCCCCCCCCCCCACGGAGTTCCGTGCCACAAACATGACAAAGTATATTATTGCTATATTTTTTGCTTTTAATAAAAAAATCCTCCAGAGCCATGAATCAGGAAGAAAAATTAGTACCAGTACCTGATTTCAAACAATGACAGTAAGGAAATATATTTGAGGAACTAAAAACTAAAAAAATATATTTAAACATAACGACGGCACCAGCACTTTGGCACATATTTAATAATTAATAAATTGACACGTTTAAGCTACTGAGTACCGAAGTGCAAACGCTTTGGAAATTTAAAACCTCATACAGATATAAATTCACAATGTTAATTGTTATGCCACAAAACACAGTATATGAAATAATACAGCTTCTGTAAAAAAAGAAAATCACTAAATATTAAATAAGCAACGTAGAAAAAAAAAAATAAATTAAAAAAATTAAAAAAATTCCACTGACCTCAGTCTGCTCACATTGAATGTTTCTTTTCTTTTTTCCCATAAATAATTATAACCTAGTTTGGATGAAGAATGCTCTTATTCTTAATAATAATATTAAATCAGCAAAGACCAGATGTAGGTGTCCGGAAAATGGGCAACTTCACATAGGCTCGCGTCTACATTGCGAAAGGACACCGAAAGTGAAATATAAAAACTGGCTACCTACCTTAAACAAATGCACAGCAGAATGCACGGTTAATCCAAAATTCTCATGAAGCCTTCTTTGATATCCTGATCTCACGAGCAATTCGTCGGATTCCTGAGAAACATCCACCATCGAAAATCGGTTCCGCCTTTTTCGCCTACCAATTTCCGTACACACTATAATACCGGTACGCTGCCATCTTTGATCGAAGATCCACCTGTTATTGTTCAATGTGACTCTACCATTATTCCATAGGGGGCGGCCGTAACGCAACTTCTATTTTGCCACAAAACGTACCACTCGATGCGTCAAAAAATGCAAAAAATGTGGGGCCTGTGGATTATTTTCAATGTTCATGGACCTCTCGGAGTGATGCTGAAGTATTATGCAGTGAAAAATATTAAAAGTTCCTCAACTGTGCCGTAATTGGTATCTGTTTCACCTTCTCTTAATGGTTTGTTCTTTTCATGCATGCCTGGAATGTATCATTGACACACATTGATACAGGTACAACTTGTCAGGTGGTTAGAAGATTGTTTGCTACATCAGAACAGTACACATTACAGTACATGGCAGATGGCGCAACAATAGGATTGGTACATATGGGTACACCATAACACAATGGAGCTATAATGCGTGTCTGGAATTGCATGATCTTGCAGATGATCTTTTGGTTTTTTTTAAAGCAGATAATTATTATAACTTGAATAGATTTTTTTTTAACTTTTGAGGATCTGATTTGAAATGTTGTGAGGAATTTATTTGTTGTGGGCTGAGGGGTGGGCGTGGCCAGGGGGTTCTGTGACTGAGATGAGGGGGACCCTCGATGTTGCCTTATAAGTTAAAGTATGGAGCGCCCGGCAATTTGTGTTTTCAAAGTTTTTTAATTTTAATTGCAGAGATAATGGAGTCTAGCACCCAAAGTCCCACCCAGAGCTTCTCCATAACCCACCAATGGGACGGCTCGTCCATTGACCACGCACCAATCAAAGTGTCTCTGTTACGCGATCCCCAAGATACCTCCTGTCTGTTGCTTGAAACAGAGGCCCCCTTCTTCAACAACCCAGGAAGGCCGCAAGGGGAACCTGGTCTACCCTATGATGGTCTATGGGAGTATGAAGGTACATGTACATGGAAAGACATCCTAGCTCTTCAAAGTAAAGGATAAGACCCCTTAGCTCTACGAAAAAGAAGCTAAGACTTAACTGGCATGTGACGGTGTGTCCAACATTTTTAAGTTTTAAAAAAGATTTAGTGACATAACTTTATATATTTGGGTGGACATTTACATGAACTAAAACTATTGGACTGGTTGTTCATGTGCCTTCAGTAAACTGTAAATTGGCCCCAACAAGTAGAAATTATAAAAGTATCTCCGATCATTTGGGAAGTCCTGAGCTGAGGAAGTCATAAATTGGTTCGATATTTTCAGGGATGTAATTAATTATGGGCGGGTCTGAGGTACCAGGAAAAGAGGAAGGGACCATGGTCATATGTTGAAGAGGGAGTCGCAAACATTCATAATGTTATTAGAAATGCTACTGGATATGACGGCTGCCAGACAGCTCTGCACGTGCATATGAACAAACTTCATCGCCGCGTCAAAACACTTCAAATAAACACAAACAAGTCAAAAGATATTCCTAATTACATTACAATCTATCTTCCTTCCTTTTTTTTTTTTGGCAGTCGTAGAGGCTTTTTTTCTGGGAGATGGTGAGAAATATCTTGAAGTGGAACTCTGTCCGTGAGTATTTATATAACAGGATGTTCATAAATGCTGTCAAAAAATTGTCAGAGTAAAACAGATTGTGAATGTGATGTATGCTCTTATTAATTCCCCTACCCTCTTCACATAAATCCAGTTATTGCATGTGTGTGTGCACCGCATAGGCTCTTTGAACAATCATCACAAGTTTCAGTAAGGTTAATATTTTTTTACACTTGCATAGGCATGGTCAGCACTTAGTTCTGCTGCTGAACGGAGTCAGGAAGTTTTACAAGGTATGTCACATTGGTAATGAAGAAACGGATGTGCATCACGTTCTTGCCAATTTATTCTGGTTCTACAGTGAAATCTCGATAAGTCAAACCTCAAAGGAACAGGTTCAGAATTTGACTTTAGCAGAGTTTTGAGTTAAGCAGGGTTGTATATCACTGTTATACTACTGAAGGGAATGGATTCTTTGTTTGACTTAACAGTTGTTTTGAGTTATCAGAGTTTGACTAATCGAGATTTCATTGTACATACAAAGTCTGCCTTATAAAATTTTTGCTTGGAAGGCAATAACATTTCTGAGCTCTGGAAAACTATGATTTCAATGAATCCTGTGAAAAGTATCGGTCCTATTGTTTAAGTTCAATCATACATTTTGGACAACCATTTTCTGTTGAATGATCATTATTTTGATAACTTTTTTACCCTTAACGCAGACAAAACTCGCCCTTGATTTTCAAGCCACTATCAACACTGACGAAGGCACTTGGAAAGGCCGTGCCAAGATACCACTGGAGTATTTACCGCCTGGTGTGAAGAAATTTAACGCTTATGCAATCCATGGATCGGAAGATGATCGCACGTACGAGGCTCTGTATCATGTACCCAAGGGACAGTACGCAAATCCAGACTTGTAAGTATGAGGGGTTCTATGTAGACGAATCCAGGCATATGGCCCCCTTCAATGGCAAAGCATTGTGCAAGCCATTGTAAAAAGCTAGTGCTCCATGGTGGATTATTTGAACAATAGCTACTAGCACATGAGCGCAATGCTCTCGCCATTGAAGGGGGCCTTCGTGACAGCGTGCCCGGATTAATCAAGATAAAGTTTGACTCAAGTCCAAGTCTGAGCTGTGAACTGATGCAGGTCTAAAAATCCAATTAACCCCAACTCCCTAGGCATTTTTGCCAGGAAGCATTCTCAGTCCTGCAAAATCCTCCAACTGCCTCCAGGTAAAAATTGCATACAGCCTCAATCCTGCAGAATCCTCCGTTATTTCTTGAATGTGGTCCTTGGAGGGGTGACCACTGCCTCAACCCTGCAAAATCCTCCAGCAATCACTGTCAATATGTTGAGGCACAGCCAGTGGCATCCTGAAGCAGTGTGGAGGATTTCCAGTATTATCTAGGCCTAAATTTATGCACTGCTAAGCATAAACAACACAAGGTCCGGCCCAAGACCTTGACACAATGCATCCTCTGAAATCAGCCACACATTTTTGCCATATAGCCTCAATCCTGCAAAATCCTCCATTTTGCAGAGGGGATTTTGGAGGATTTGGGAAGGTTAGTGTTATTAACACAGTGAACAAACATCATGAGCTTCTATTTCTTCTTGTTTTTATTCACAGCCACCGTTTGGAGTATTTCCGTGACATTGACTTCACAGGCCTCGTTTCTTCAAACATAGCATCTAAGCTGTGGGATAATGCAATATAACCGAGCCACTAGTCAACATGTAAGAGATCATTCAAGGTTACAAGCAGTTTATTCTATTGACAGCCTGTAATTTCTTTTGAGACAATTGTGCAGAATGATCCATGCATTTTTTTGTTCTTTGTGTGTGCCCTGTTTACTTTGAGGACTGATCACATTTCAACAAATGCTAAACTATCCAGAACCATTCAAAAAGAGGTTTGGTAAATTACCCATGTTTGATGACAACTGAAATAATTACATGAAATTAAACTAAAAATATAGGGTGAGTATTATTTTAATACACAGCATATGTAGGTTCACCTATTATCAATGTTTCTGGAATATCATTTGAAATGGAAGAAAACACAAGTCTTTACATTGCATAAAAGTTCAGTTATCAGGTGAAGACAGGAATCTTCAATGTGGGATGCTGTGGTCCCATTGTTATGGTGTTCAACAATTGATCTTTGCATTATTTTGATAAGTATTTCAATTGATACATGTACTTTTTCATTTTCATTACTTGCATAAAGTAAGCATTAGAGTTTTAAGTCTTTTTTACTGTACTTCTTTAACATGCCTCATAATTTACAAGTGATGTGTGTAAAAGCAAGCAATAAAGAATTATATAAAATAAAACAAAGAAAACTAATCAGTTTGCAATAATTTTCAAAAATTGTTTGAACTACATGAATTGATTGAAAAGTATAGAAATTAAAAAAAATTCATATTGTACAAAATAAACATTTTCAGAAATGAAGTCGTTGAAGCAGCTTTAAGATTTTTGTTAAAAGTGGAAGTATAATGTTTTATAAATCGATCGGAAGAAATATTTACATTAAAAAAATTATTGTTTTATTCAAAATGTTTCAAATATTGGCATGTTGATATACAGTGTAAAAGTAAAGAAACTTCTACATTTCTTATAAAAAAATGCAGTATATATTTAACTTGACATCCAGTTGTCGAACAGAAATGTTGAAGGAGCCTATTCTCATTTTGAAAGAAGCTATTAATATACACAACCTCTAGTTGGCTTGTGTACTTGTGTGCAACCCAATTTATTTGCAAGGTTCCCATTCCATTGTTTCTTACCCTACGTCCAGCCTTTCGTCAGTTTCCTCCAGGAATTCGCCCTCCAGGGCCCGGTTAGTTCTCAGGATGAACTCCTGGGGCCCAGTCAAGGGTAGATCCCCCAGGGAGGCTAGGCAGACGTCGTGGTCCTGGAGATTGAAGGGGAGGATAGAGCGTCGGCCCTCCAGACGAGTGGATCGACGGACTGGCGTCACAAGCTTCAGGCCAGGGGTTGTTGGGGCTGGGGGTTGATGGCCAATGGCTGCCCTGATTCTAAACCAAGAGATTGAAAGAGAAAGTTGATAGGAATGACTAACAACAGGGTCCAATACATTTGAGCTTCTAAGCAGAGAATATATTGCTTAAGTTGCTTCAGCCCGGGTGTTGGGAACAGACTCTGTGGTGCTTTGAAATAGCATGTTGTCCATCAAAAAGCAACTTGATCTGTTTCATCCGTGAAAGCAGCTATTTTTATTATTGTCATATTGGCAATTTCTTATTGGAGTTCCTGGGTAGCTTTTAATTGAGGTTTTCCTGTCCTGTTTTTTTTATTTTATCAAAATTGATTCGGAACAGAATCATGACACCTGAGCAGAATCAGAACCAATTTAATACAAAAAATGTTGGAATCTCCTGAATCTGTCGACTGTCTTAATACTCTTAAGTCGGCTAACCTGTCAAAATAAGGTGTAGATTCCGTCAAGCAATATCTCAGCACGGAGGACTGGAGCAGTTGATCCATGGCCGCAGGGTACCGGCTACCCCTGGGTGTCGGGGTCTCTGGTGCCGGGTCTGTCACAGTGTGTGCATCTGGGGAGGTGATGGGTGCTTCTTCAGCTGATGGTTGTTTGTGTATCAGTGTGGTCACGTACTGTTGGAGGGAGTCCTTGACTTCTTGAATTGGCTGTTAAGAGGAAAGCAGTTAACAATATTTGGCAAAATCTGTGGTTGATGTTTTTTCTACGGACAGTGCATCGACTGACAGAATATGAGCATCTCATGCTTACCTGTGCACATTCTCGTACCGCCTCCTCATAAATATGGATGATCTCATTTGCATTTAGTCCTTCCTCCTGCGCGATGGAGACTCTGCAGAGCCAGTACTTAGCACACTGACACATCGCTGGAACTCTGTCAACCAAATTGTCCAGCCATTCGGACACATGTTCTGTTGGACAACCCTGCAAAAAAAAATTAATATTGTTTAACATTTTTCACCAATATTTCTATTTTCTCTCAAGATGTATGTCTGCTGGGAGTGATTTCTTCTACTCCTTAACAGTGGGAGTAACCAATTGTGAATTTTCGGAGGCTATATATTTAATGAATTAAATAGCATTTTTATTATTTATTAATTTAGCATTATTAATATGCATACGCATCTTATGAATATGCATATGGAATAACACAAAATACCGCCCAGTTTCCTTACCGACTGAAGCAGCAAGAAGCACTCATCCATTGTACAATTCAAAGCCGACCTCAATTCGTCCTCCTCCTGACTAGTGCTGCTATCAAGGGAACTGGATGGCTCCGAGTCGAGGTGCCAGACCGGGGGCGGGACTTTGGTAGGCTTGGCATGCCGGGGGGTCATTACGCTACGTCTGATGCGATCAGCAGGTGTCTTTTTGAAGTTGAGAAGGTTGCTGTATCTGGATGGAGTCTTGCTCTTGCTAGCTAGCCATTGCTCGAGGCGCTGTCTTCAGTGATAAAAAAATAACGATAATATTGTTACGCTTGCATACTGCAATGGACCAATCCACATCTGGCCATGTGCCTGTCCTACTATTGCTTTACATACATTGGTAGGGTAGTGATGATGGGTCTGATTTCTATGTACTGTAGTCCAAAACAATAGTGAGTATAAAAAGGCAATAATTAATAACTTACTGCATATCTAATTTCTTGTCCTGCCATGGCTGTTTGGGTGTGGCGGGTGCATCAGGCTGACCACGCCCTACCAATCCTGTTGATTCCTTGTTCTTCTGCAAGCGTGGGCTGCATCTCACGGGCGTCGCTGTGCTGAGGAAAGTCACGGCCTTGCGCTTTCTGGGCGGCTCATCTAGAGTAGGGCTGCTCCTTGTGATGTGCAGACGGTTCTCGTTTATGTCTGTGGGATGTGGTTTTGTGGCAAGGGAGTGATTTTTGCTCCCGCCTTCTTCACTGATGCCTGCGGTCGACTGATGCCTGCTTGAGATGGCAGACTGGAGGGGTTTACCCTTGACGGATGTTGGAGTTTTGAAGAGGTGTTTCTTGGGAGTATCACCCACTCTCGTTTCTTCTGCGTCTGTGAGCCCTTTGCAGCTGGGGGTCCAAGGGGGTAGTGGTGTCTTTGCTGAGGGTGTGACGTGGGCCAGGTGTCTAGTTGAGCCTTCTTTCTTCATTGATGAATGTGAGGTCTGTGATGGAGTCTTCTTGTTTTTCTCCTGCTTCTGTGCCTTCCACAATTCAAGCTTTTCCCTGCAGAGAAAGAGACAGAGCTTGTTTTGATGTAATGTTGGTTTAGAAAAATCTGAGGCAAATAAGGAATATTTTTAGCTATTTCAGGAAATGTCTGTGGCGATCTTTGCTTTTACCTCATGGTAATTTCTTTAACTGGTGATTTCTCTGTCAAGTTAGACTGACGTCTTTCATCCTTCTTGCTCTTCATTCTTCCAGTGCTGGATTTGGAACTAGTGGTTTGTAAACTTGACCTAGAAATATAAAAAATGCAGAAATAAAGAGAAATGTGATTGAATGAAATGACTTTTGCTCTTGCATAACGTGCTTTAATCTACTGGATATGCAGAGTAAGAAAGAGGTTTAACTTTGAAGGTGTCTGCATTTATCCAACCTGTGATGTTACTAGCTTCACTATCAAATGTCAATCGTGCAATGGCAAAAAAAAGGAAAAGGTGATGCAACAAAATCCCTGATATGAATGTGATCTTACCTTTTGTTTGAAGACGTCTTCTCTGCTCTGGCAGTGCGTATGTGGTTGACCGCCCTTGGTTCCTTCAGTGGTCGTCTTGTCATGGATTTCGTGCCACACTGGGACATCTTCCCATTGTCTGCGTATTGCTTCTTTCGAGCCTTCTCTACTTTCCATCGGGCGAGTTTCTCCAGCATGAAGTCTGCATCAACAAAAAATTGAAAAAAACATGTTAAAGTAAATTTGATTATTGATTTTAATAAAGATAGTGGATATTTTGCCGGAGGTAATGACGGCAAACTAACGTTTACTAAAGGTTTGCCGTCTCCGGCAAAATATCCACTGCCTTTAAACGGCAGCAGTAACGCAACTTTCAACTGCTAATTGTGCTATCATTCAAGCATGTCAAGTATCATTACAAAACTGTCTGGTTCCCTGATGTACTAATACTGTATAGCAATAGTATTCAACATCACGATCTTTGGCTAACCTTGCTTCGATAAAGTACTTTTGGAATCCATTTTAGTTGGTTTTTGCGAGATTCTGTGGAGCGTTTCCACCGTACCGGCAGACGAGCATCCGAATTTGACGCCAAGACAAAATAAACAACCAATCAAAATGGTCAAGTATCAGCCAATTGAGGGCGCTGTTGTTATGCACCACAAAAATTGTGTACGTGAGTGTGATCACTCGTCACGCGAAGCCGAAGAAGGGATGATGTAATAAAATCGGATATATTTTGATAAGATTGTTCTCTTTTGCACTTATTCTTCGTTTTGGTAAGGCATGAAAATATTTCTTTCCATAAATTGGTTTAGGCCTATATAAAGGTACAACTATAGAAATGAGTAGTTATCAAATACATGTGGGGAAACATGATTGATTGGCTTTAAAATTGTTTTTGCTCTCCATTACTAGGCCAAATAAAAAAAAAAACATGTTTACGTCCTGCCTTTTTAAAGAAAAGGAAGGAGGAGGCCCTTTTTTCCCTTATTTTATTTGCTTCCAAAATGGCCGCCCGACCGGGCTAGTTTCAAAGATTCCTTACAGTTCTCACTCTCTGAGGTGCAAGATGAGCCAAAAAAAAGGTTTTTTTTCTGTTTCGAAAGTCAAAGTAGTGTCACTGATGCAACATTCTTTCCACCGTTTATCGCTGGGTTTCCCAAGCTACTCTTTATTACAATTAAACAACTATGGTATTCATTTCATCTCTATTGTTTGAATGCTGTTGTTTTTATTTGTCAATTTTAAAAACTAAACATGCTGAAGTGATCTTTCTCTCACAAATTCCGAACTAACCAGTTGCTCATACTTGTCATGGCACTTTTACTATTTCTTTTCTTGCAGGAGCTTTGTCTTATTAACCTCATTAACTTTCCATTGATAGTTTCACGTTTTAGTTAAATTATTGACAATGTGATGTGGAATTTGCAGAGAAATTTACACTGTGATCAGGTGATCACTACTCTAGTGGTGATATTGTTTCTGTCATGTCTGTTAGTCAGTGTTACGCCTAAACTATACCATTGATTGACCCAAATATGTAGCCTATATTTGGGATGGTTCTTGCTTGGGAAACCCCAGATCCGATGCTCATCAGGAATTTGTCGATATGTCAAATTCGTGACATGCCTGATGACATGGATGAGCGTTGGAGCTGGGGTTTCGCAAACTAGGATGATTCCATTGTTTGGTTGTAATGTATCTCTTTAACGGTTTCGAGTCAACTCGGTCCCAAACCAACTCGGTCGGAGTCAACTCGGTCCATGTCAACTCGATTGCAGGTCAACTCGGCCCTGAGTCAACTCGGTCCCAAGTCAACTCGGTCCCACATCAACTTGGTGCCACGTCAACTTGGTCCCAGGTCAACTGTGAAATTTAAGGGAAAAAGCCCTAGCAAGGCACTACCGCACTAAAATCAAATTGTGTTATGTTAGGGCGTTTCAACAATACAAAAGACTCTTAACATTATCCGACCTTTGTTGGCGTGCATTTAGATTTTTTCCGTAGGGACCGAGTTAACTTGGATATGAGATGAATTGGGACCGAGTTGACCTGGGACCAAGTTGACTTGGGACTGAGTTGACCTGGGACCGAGGTCACCTGGGGCCGAGATGGTTTGGGACCGAGTTTACCCGAACCCTCTCTAACATGTCTAAAAACTAACACCTCCATTGGCAGTAATATTGCTTTGAGTTATCAAAACATGGGGTGATTATCGTGTGCACATTGTACTTGTGTAGTAATTCTGAAGTCCTTCTAAATGCAAAAGGGCATTTAAATGGGAGGAATAGGGGCTCTTTGAAGTTTGATGGTACTTCAGTGAAGTCACAATTTGAATAGAGTTTATGTGTTATGTGAATTTCCTGCCACTTTTAACCAGTTATTTGGGCCTCGTGTCCTTACTAACCACAGTTTTGTTTTCTGCACTTTTGTTGGCAGCTGTGTAAAAAGCACACGATGGAAACATTGCATGCAGTAACTGCATTGCAAGACTAGCTAACACTGACTGTTGAGTCATGAACTACACGAGGCTTAACTCCCATGATAGTCCTGATGAAGATCAGGATGGATCAGGCAAGCCCTCAGTGTAAGTTCCTTGCTCTGATTTACTAACATGTAGTTGGTGACACTTCTTTCTGCCTTTCATCTTTTCTGCTCAAAAATGGCACGTACTGTATGCAACTTACAAGTTAAAAATAATTGTTTTTGCATATTTGTACTGCTGCATAATTCAAAATGACTGCTGTTTCGTGTTGGGACCTGAAACTGGAATATCATATTCCAGTTTCAGTTTCACACTTATTTTTACAACATTAGCATTGGCTGGTGTTATTGAAACGATCAATATGACACTTATTTTAGAACTGGAGGAAGTAACCTTGCATACAAAAAAGTTACTGGTTCTTTTTTCCCGTGTACGGTGGAACAAGTAACCATAGTAAAAGAACTGTACAACCAGGAACTTCTTGCATTAAACATTACACCACAATTGTTAGTGCACATATGGCAGGAATATAGTGCATGTGGATTTGCAGAAACTGTGCAGTCACATCGCTGTTATGCATTTTAGATGTCGGTTTGATTTAAAGGTAGGCCCTATATGTAATATACAACATTTTACTTTTGCTGTAATTTTCAGAAATGGATGGATTTGGGGGGTTATAGCAAATAGTGTTACACTGACCTGTTTAAAGTTTGTGTGTTCTAGATGCTGGAAAAATCGCAATAAATAAAATGCTGTTCTTGTACTTTGTAGTCTGGTTTCCCTGACCCTACTTCAGACGAAACGGAGCAATTTATATTGTCAGGTCAGGGAATCAGCCCATTCATGGATGTGTAACCAATTGCAAACAAAATGTGGACTGATTAAATTTGGTAAATTAGGGGGAATTAAGTATTTGAAAAAAAGAGGCATTTTTTTTCCCAATGATGGTCGGCCGACCATCGTTGGAACTTTATACAAAAATTCCACTTTTCTTGAAAATGACAGCACACCAGGTGCCCTGATTTCACAGGATGCTTGAGACTATTATTCACTTACAGTCAAGTGAGGTGTTTCATAATAGTTTGGTAGTTTTTTTTTTTTTGCTGTCTGAAAATGTTTTTATTACCTTTAATTCCACTCTATTTTGATATTTTACAAACAACTCTGAAAATATTCAAAATCTTCAAAATTATTGGAACTTTTGTCATTACCTCGATGATGATGCACACTTAACAACCAGCTTAACAACCTGACTTGTGTTTATAACACAGCTTACATGTACATGCAAGGAAACATCTTAACAAAACTAAAATTTGGTCGGATATTTTAATTAACTAACATGCAATTACTGTACCAAGGATGGATTCGAAGTCTGACTGAAGGGGATCGCTAACCAATGTCAGTTTTGTCTGACTAATGTTAATTATTTACACATTACTGGAAAAATTTACACATTTCTGTAAGTTTTCTGAAATTACATCATGCAGTATTGGAGTCATTACTAAACATGTGGTCCCTGGATATGTAGACGTCAACACTTCAACACCCCTTCCCCCTTGAAAAAAAACTTTTAACCACCCTCTCTGGAAAAATTGTTAATCTGCCATGATGTACACTCTTTGTAACATCACTTTAGTTTCAAACGTGTGTAGAATGATATTTTGTTTTACCGCGCATAGTTGGCTTGAGCTGCACAATCGCACCATGGAGAGGGAGAAACTCATCAGCGGCAACGGTAACCCTAGTTACGGAGAAGGCGCCACATCTTTCGCTGACGACGACGATCTTCTAGATATCAGTACGGACACTGACGGGTCTGTCTCGTTCCTCGGGGGTTTATCCACACGCAGAAGACGCAGCGTAAACGGGACCGAAAATGGATCAGGTATAAATGCAACATAAGAAAAAACTACAATATTAACCCTAACCTTCACAAATTCTCCAAAATCCTCTTTGCAAAATGAGTGATTTTGCAGGATTGAGGCTATATGGCAAAAATGTGCGGCTGATTTCAGAGGATGCATTGTGTCAAGGTCTTAGGCCGGACCTTGTGTTGTTTATGCTCAGCCGTGCATAAATTTAGGCCTGGATTATACCTGAAATATACCGCACTGCTCCAAGATGTCACTGGCTCTGCCTCAACATATAGACAGTGATTGCTGGAGGAGTTTGCAGGATTGAGGCAGTGGTCACCCCTCCAAGGGCCACATTCAAGAAATAACAGAGGATTTTGGAGGATTGATGAGGCTGTATGCAACTTTTACATGGAGGCAGTTGGAGGATTTTGCAGGATTGAAGTTCCATCCTAGCAAAAATTGATCAAATTTGCATCAAATAGTTTTGTTTCTGTTCTGAAGCAGTACTTTAATATACCTTTATTTTGTAGAAACTTTGTCAATTCCAAGTGTACTAAATTTAAATTTTCTGTATTAGAAGGTGAATATTTCTGAAGTGGAAAAACATTTTTACAGGAATAGACTTCAGGAAATAATACTCACTGGGGAGGTAATGATTGTGTTTAAAAGGAAGAACATAACATGTTTTCTCTATGTATTTCTTTCTTTCTTTGTTAATTTTTAATACTTGTAGATTCTTATGAAGGAGGCACTGCCCCAGACCAGTATGAGGACTTCCACACCATCGATTGGGCCAGGGACATGCAGCGATATCGCAAGGAGCACAAGGCAGTGTCGCGACGCAGCTCCAGGTCAATCTGGGGTCGCCTCAAGGGGTCGTTTTACGCAGTCTCGGCGTGGGTGGTGGTCCTGCTGGTCGGCATCTTTGCTGGTATGCATGTATGATTGTATGTGACTGCATCATGACATTGTTGAGCTTGTGTTCTTGAGCTAGATACTTTACTACAATTGCTTTACTAAACACTGCATAAAAAGAAAGTCCATACTCATTCGAGGGGTCATAATTTTGAATCTGATCGTCTTATGATAACGACATTTATATAGACCTTTGGGGAATTTTGTGGGCTACATTTTGATACCCCGTTTGCTACCAAAGACTGTAAATCGTCCAAGATTGACAATGGTTTGTGAAAAATGATGCACTTTAAAAAATTGCAAATTTAAAGATTACGCAAGGAGAAATTGCTAATCGCAAACACACATGCCCGTAATTGGCTCCAAAGGGCGGGTAATTCAATTTCGCGTGCTCCAATGCATTCAAGCACTGTGCGGTATATATTCCTTGCCCTTTGATTCGGGCAGTGTAACATTGTCACGCAGCAGTTTCCACCTGCGTTCTCTTTAAATTTCCAATTTTTCAAACTGCATCATTTTTCATAAACAATTGTCAATGTTGGGACGATTTACAGTCTTTGGTAGCAAACAGGGTTATCAAGATATAGCTTACAACATTCCCCAAAGGTCTATGTAAATGACGTTATTCATAAGACGATCAGATTCAAAATTATGACCCCTCTTTTTTGTGGTGTTTACTTTACTATATGCGTGCACCTTATTATTTGTGCTAACGCAGGGGCATTTGCTGGAATCATTGACATTGGTGCAACCTGGCTGAGTGACATTAAGTTGGGCGTTTGCAAGGACGCTTTCTGGCTGAACTGGGAGCAGTGCTGCTGGGTGCAGAACAACACGCAGTTTGGCAATGAGGACGACATCCAGTGCCTGACGTGGTTCCAGTGGTACGAGCTGTTCGGCCTGCAGGACCCGCAGGACTGGCGGGCGTACCTCGTCTCGTACCTGATGTTTGTTGGCGCGGCTCTGCTCATGTCGGCATTGGCTGTGCTTCTAGTGCTGGCGTTTGCGCCGTACGCTTGTGGCTCTGGAATACCCGAAGTGAGTTGAGATTTTTTTCAGTGGGTAACTGCAACAGTACAATTGTCCCTGCAGTAGAAATTTGTTTCAATGAAATCCTTGTGTCATAATGGCCTTTATGTTTATTCCTTTAATTGTCTTTCCTTTTCTAAGGTATTTTTGAGAATTTTGTTGATTTTGATGCTATTGTGAATTTCCATAGAACATCTTTCCAATGCCAAATAGCGCTTCACAACATTGTCAATGTGTAGCATGGAAGTTCGTTTCCAGTCCCATTATTATATCAAGTAAATAAAAGATACCTTTTGGGGCTCGTATCAGGAGCTTGCAACACCATCACAGTGTCTTTATCAACTGGTGTTGTTGAGGCCCTCACGTGACCCGTCACATGACCAAGCTTGGTCTTGTGACCCGTCACGTGACCAAGTTTGGTCACAAGACAGGAGGCGGTCGTAAGCGTGGGCCAGCTTGTACCCTCCATCTCTGTCTCTACCATGATCTTAACATTGTCTACGGAGATGTTATGTCCTGGGGTGGATATATGTTCACCAACTGCTGTCAGGGGGGCTGACCTACTGGTGTGTTCTCTGTATCGGGTCTGCAGAGTGCGAGCTGTTTCACAGATATAAGTGTCTTTACAGCCATCACATGACATTCGGTATACAAGGCCACATTTCTTGAGGTCTAGAGTCTTGTCAATGTTCTCTTTGGTTGATACTTTAATTTGATGTGTTTTTGGCGGCTTTTTTTTGCCAACAGATCAAGACCATTCTGAGCGGCTTCATCATGCGTGGCTTCTTCGGCAAATGGACCCTACTGATCAAGAGCATCACCATGATCCTGGTGGTAGGGGCGGGGCTTAGCCTCGGCAAGGAGGGGCCGCTGGTCCACGTGGCCTGTTGCTGTGGAAACCTCTTCGCCCACCTCATCCCCAAATACGGCAAGAACGAGGCCAAGAAGAGAGAGGTACGAGAACTAGTCTTGACTCAAGCTGTAATGTTGGAGTTTTAAAGGGACTAGATAGATTTTTGGAGTACATCCGTTTGTATATATCTTGTGAGCTTTTTTAAAATTTAATTAATCATTTGTTTTCATTTTTGACAGATGCTATCTGCAGCTTCAGCAGCTGGGGTATCCGTTGCGTTTGGTGCTCCTATCGGTGGGGTGCTGTTCAGTTTAGAAGAGGTATGTTACGCAATATACTTGTGGATAGATGTGAACAAAATATCGAGAAAAAATACACAGAATCTCATATGGCAGTGTCAGCTTTCGTCATTGAAATAATAATAATATTGGGTTAAGGGGTTGCCTGGGTTAAGGGGTTGCCCTTCATTGCCATATATTTTTATAACCACTGTGCTGTCTTAGAGCTTGTGTGAAAAGATTCACAAGTTTACTCGGGTGGGACTCGAACCCACACCCACTTGCTGGTACAGATTAGGCGTGTACTGGTCGCCAATGCTGAAAAGCACTGGTAGTCGCTACCATCAATTTCTAAATTATCAACTTCTTGTCATGCTGCGACTAGTCATTCCACTATGCTGAACCTAGCGGTTACTTCAACTTACTTGCAACGTGACCCGAATATCGATCTTTGCCCCGCGAGTTATTAGTCGTACCGCGTTGCACTGCAAATCCGAAGCGACTACACAGTCCACTAATAGTGCTTGTGTAATGCAACACGCGCTGAAAGTCACACAGTGTGACTGCAGCAACACCCTGTATGCCCCGTTGTGCCATGTATTTGTAATAATGGTGTACGCACTGGCCTACCTGTACATCCTAACTATATCGCGACAGACATCGACAGAAGCAATTTTACGAATGTTAATAATGCAGTGGTTTCCGTGAAAGAAGAAATGAACCTCCATGTGTCACATTTTTATAATCACATTGCCAAAAAATTGGGCTACGAATATTGACCGTTAATGTGTTACTAGTCGCAACTAGTCGACTAGTCGTGAGTTTGTATTGTCATGCGAGTACAGATGTCTTGCCATTCAACTTCCAAGCTTTTCGTGTTCACCAGGCCACTTCGAAACTCGTATAGCACCATGCACTCCGAAACTCATATAGCACCATGCACTCCAATCATTGATTTCTGATTTGTTTATCCCCAGATAAGTTACTACTTTCCACTAAAGACCCTGTGGCGGTCCTTCTTCTGTGCAATGATAGCTGCCTTTGTCTTGCAAGCCATCAATCCGTTCGGCAACGACCATGCTGTCAAGTTTTACGTAGAGTACAACACCCCTTGGTACTTCTTTGAAATCGTTCCATTCATCCTGCTGGGCATATTTGGGGTGAGTCTTTTGTTTCTGTCTGTGGTAATTTTATAATTTTTTTTCTTTGAGTGCAAGTGATTGTTGACATAGTTGCCTTAATTCTAAATCGTACCATGTCCAAAATGTGTACACCATAGTGCTAGTTTATTTGGGGTGGTTTTTTTTAGGTAAAACTGTGATAGCCTCATCAGGAATTGAAGAACTTTTTTTTCTCGAAAATGTTTTCTTCCAAATGCAGGGACTTTACGGCGTTGTGTTCAACCGACTCAACTTGAAATGGTGCCAGCTTCGCATCACGTCCAAGCTGGGAAAGTACCCAATTACCGAGGTATGTCATTTCACGCTCTTAAGAGAGATTTTAGATGTGTTTTTAAGCTACCAAATTTTAATTTGCCAAAAAAAAGCAAACAAAATAAATTCAATACTTCACAAAAATTATTTGTAACAATACGTGAAGTTGTTTATGAAAATTTTGTAAATGGAGGCAAGATATGTGCAGTAATGTTATAGTCACGTGGTATGAGACGTGGTATATAGCGTGCTATATTTTATGGAAAACTTATTATGGGGGCTTATTTTGGTCATTTACTGGTGCGGAAAGGAGACCGGTGCCCTGTTTGACATTCAACGTTGAATGAAGTAGCCACTTATTCGACATTCACACTTCATGTACATGTACATACTAGTGTCGGCTACGTTAACGCAAACCACGTCAGGCAAAGAAAGATTTCATGCAAGACTTTCATGCCAGATGGCCACAGCTTATTGTGCACTCGCACTTGTTTTATTAGTGAAAGGGAGGCTTTACAATTCTTTTCAGTTATGAATTACTGTTGGTGAATGAAATAGAAGCCAGTTTTGTATTTTCAAAATTTCACATTTAAATCTTTGTAAATTGGTCTTATGCATTCAAGAATGTTTGAACAAAACATAACCATGATTAGAGTGTCTTCCCTGTTGAACTCAGGAGACCACAAACTAATGTCTTACCCCTAACCTCCCCAACTCCATCAAAACCCATCCCCCTTTTGGTGGATTTTGGGGGACTTGGTCCTGTAGGCCTGGTTGACCTAAATATTGATGGAGTTTGATGGACTTGGGCCTGGAGGCCTAAAGCAAAGCATGCATTGGAAGCAGTGTGATTGATGGATTTTGGCGGACTTGGTCCAGTACTTAGTAAAAGACAGTAGGGAGTTAGGGTTAAGGCAAGTTCTATTTTTATTACAACATAGGTGCTTCTGGTTGCCTTGGCAACGGCACTTCTCAGCTACCCAAATCCGTACTCCAGACTAAACACAAGCCAGCTGATAGCGGCTCTGTTCCGTGAATGCGGACCGCAAGATGCCATTGGATTCTGGTGAGTCCTTCGAATTGTCTTAAAACATAGATGACTGCTCAAGAGATCCCAATCGGCAGAATTTGAAAAATCTTGAGTAACAAATAAAGAACAAGCTAGCTCGGATCTTGTGTGCTATGCGCCCCTCGGGTGGTAAAAGCCGTGGGCCAACAAATTCATGTTCATGCATGAGTCACGTGATTGTGCCATGTAATTTCTGGAAAGAGTAGTGTGTTGAGTTTTAAAAACCCAGGGTTTTGACCTCAGTGACCGAATGATGACCTTTGACCCCAGTTTGGTCATGCGACATTTTGGGGCTGGGAAAGTTTGGTTGAAATCAGTCAAAATATGTAGGAGCAATAGGCAATGTCAATTTACTACTAACTAACAAACTAACGGAGAGACAAGATGATTTGTTGAGCTGCTACCCGCAGCTAAAAATCATGATTTCAATCCATTGTGTGCCATAAAAGTATTGTGGCGTGCCTCGAGGACTTTTGCACAATTCCGTATTTCTGTTCTCTATTGAGCTGAAGCAGTTTTATTTTTTTAAATAAATGTGATATTTCATCTTTTGCCCCAGTGAAAGAAAAATGTGTCAGCTCTCAAAAAGAAAAGATTGCATTTTGCCAACGTTTTGGTGTCAGACTTCAAGGCATTTATTTTGTTTGCACTGAGTATCACAGTTAAGGAGCTGTTTAAAAATTCTATATATTCTTGTATCATTACAGCGATTACAATCGTACTTACACCAGAACCGACCAGCACTGGTACCCATCTGCCGAGGCCCAGCCAGGGCTCATAGCTGCTATGTGGCAACTACCGTTAGCCATGATACTGCAAGGCATTCTCACTGTCTTTACCTTCGGGCTCAAGGTACAAACATAACTAATTCTTGGATCAGAAACCGTTTTCTAATCCATTAGACAGACCCAGCACTGTCTCATTTTGTGAATTCATCAGGTAATACAGGGTGAGATAAAAAAAAAGAAACCCAAATGGTGCCCCCAATTTTTTAAAGAATTTCTGCATGTGGTGTTTTCTAAATCTCGGATATGAAAGCCCAATTAATAAGTTTCTTTTAGTGAAAGAATCATTCTAATCGTTCATGTACTTTTCCAGTTATGGAATTTTGAACACAAACACCGTTTTTTAATCTTGTCCACGGATCACATTTAAGGTACGTGATATTTCAGTAAAAATTAAACCATGTCGTATCCTGAAAATGATATCAGAATAATGCCATAAGTCTCTGGGGTAGCCAAGTAGAAGGCAGGGCAAGACTATAAACTCTTGACATTGGAAGCAGCAGGCTTTTAAATAAATGTTATGATAAGTTCCAGTTATCATGGCATGATGAGAGTGTTCTGATGTGTTTTTTTGGTATGTGAATAGTTTCCATTTTGCCGAAATATCACTCACCTTTATTGTGATTCGTGGACAAGGTTAACAAACTGTGTTTGTGTTCAAAATTCCATAACTAGAAAAGCACATGAACGATTTGAATGATTTTTTCACTAAAAGAAAGCTTATTACTTGGGCTTTCATATCCTAGATTTGGAAAATGCTACATGCAGAAATTCTTTAAAAACTAGGGGGCATTATTTGGGTTTTCCTTGTTTGACTCGTCCTGTAGATACAGTGTGAGCATTGGTAACATGTATGTATTGACCTTTGAATTCAGTGACCTTGAATTCGGTGACCTTTGACCTTATTGACCTCATTGACCCCATTGACCTTTGACCTTGGCAGGTACCAGCTGGTCTGTTTATCCCTACAATGGCTGTAGGTGCAATAGGGGGACGCTTGATGGGGATAGCAATGGAGCAACTCGCAATGTGAGTAGTGGTCAGCTTTCCAACCAAATTCTCAAAATTCATGTGCCTTAAAAAAACACCCAAATGAAAAACTGTATAGACTTTCTTCTTTTGTTCACTTGTGCACCAGTTTAGTGCAGACTTCACAGATTTATGTAGTTTTAATCACCGTCTTTGTTATGCATACTAGAGCCAATTTTCACGACGTCATTCAACTATTACAGATCACCAGTAACCGAGGTGAAACGATGCATAACCATTGCATTTCGTGCTTGCACACACTCTTTAGGGCCTTTTACAAAAAACATGAAACACAGACATCAGACAGACATCAAACAGACAGACAGACATCAGACAACGTAGGATCTTGTCAAATATAGGATATCTGTCTTTGTGTGAACGGACAACTGGTTATAGGAACGAAATAACAATTTAACAAAATCTTGTTTACGAATTTTTCAGCGAACACCCTGACCTGTTGATATTCACCGGGTGTTTTGACAGCGGCAAGTGTATTACGCCGGGCCTGTATGCTATGGTAGGGGCTGCAGCCACACTGGGTGGAGTCACACGCATGACCAGTGAGTTTACGTCTGACCTTCAGATAAATTCAATATTCAATCATTTGCATTGCACGAAGATTGCCAGCTTTGCTGACTTAATTAAATAATTCAATTTGTGGTCATGATATAAAAAATGACATGCAAATGTCTTTTCCAGGGTCAATTCTTAAAGAAGTATAAATTTCATGCATACGACCATATGCTAAATCTTGAATATTTAAAAAGATGACCTAATACTATTGATTCAAAGTTGCATTTTAAAAACTAGAAACCTATCGGACAGTGTGTTTGTATGATGCGAAAACCCAAAATTGCTTGCAAATTCTTTTCCAGGGTCAATTCATAAAGAACTTTCAAATTAATGCATATAAACATTTGCCATAAACATGAATATTTAAGATATGATAGAATGCTATACTGGGCAATTCCACAAATTCAGACGTACATGTCAGACACTTTTATGAGCTGCTGTTGGAAAAGTGAATGTGAATCAACACTTATACGTGACATCTAATGAGCAGAAACCAATTACAGACCAAACTAAGGTACCACCACCTTAATGACCTTGTACATCATGTGGTCGGACGTACGCAGAAACATGAATTTTAAAAATTTGCATTTAAAAAACTAGAAACCCAGACACTGCCACAAAAACCCAAAGACTTCTGGGTTTTCTGTGTTTTTTGTTTGTGGGGGGAGGAAAGTTCCATGGAAAGACAAGTCTCTGGGGAAAAATAAGATTTGGAGAACAACCGGGATGATTTGCAGGGAGTGTAATGTACATTTAAACATACAACATTTGAGATGAAAGAATAATGTAAGATTGGGCCTTGATTCAATCAATATTTTGTGTCTGTATCCTGTTTGTTTTTCAGTTTCTCTAGTGGTCATCATGTTTGAGCTGACCGGTGGTCTGACATACATCGTTCCACTCATGATTGCGTGTATGGTCAGCAAGTGGGTGGCCGATGCATTCGGCAGGGATGGAATGTATCCTTTTCTTAGCTTTTGCAAATTTGGATTTTTGAACCTTAAGCAGAACTCTTAACCAAAGTGAAATTTTACTCAGACTGCATTTTACATGTCATCATCTGAAGTCCTTTTTTGTTTTATTTTGACAGCATTTAATCAAAAAATAATCCAAATAGTTTTCGGATTTTTGTCTTTGATACTACAGGTAAAGAAGGCTCGTCAAATCAATCCACTTTTTTCAATCTGGTACAATTTTTGTAAATTTGTCATACTACAACTTGCACTTAATTCTACTATAAAACTATTGTAATCAATCACTTATTCATGGATATAACATTTTCTCTTGTATTTATCCTTTAATTTTAAAACCTTAAGTAAATAAGTGAAGGATTTTTATTAGCAGTACTGATCCTTAACTGGTACCCAGCTATGACGGCCACATACATCTGAATGGTTATCCCTTCTTAGACGGCAAGCAGGAGTTCATGCGCACAACTCTGGCATACGATGTGATGTCCCCACGGTAACATAACATTTTCATTGCTATTAAGTTGTTTTTTTTAATTTAAATGATAACCATTGCAAATTCATGTGGTTTTAATTCTTATTTTGATTTTTTTTTTCTTTTTCAGGCGAACTGACCCTCCTCTCCTCACAATCACCATGGATACATCAACAGTTGAAGAACTAGGTGAGACATGGACATGGAGCTATATTAAATCACTAGAGCGCTAACTCCTCATTCTTCCACTCGGAAAATACTTTGAAGCCGTCCTGCGCATAGACATTTTGAATTCATGTGCGTGTTTGTAGAAAATAGTGAAATTAGATGAAGTGAATTTTGAAAGTGTACTCTAAATGCAATCAACTGAAGCGCGCCATGATGGTTAAAGGAAACGTCACGGCAAAAATCTTCTGATACGCGCACCGGTTTGCGTTATTTGCACAGAGCAAAATGAAACGCTCATTTACTGATCATGTGTTTAGGTTTTAGGCATATCGGCTTCGATAACGCACTTGTATAGAATACAAACGCAGATATGCAAACAGCCGTACAAAAGCCGTACACAATTTCGAGTATCCCATAGGTTTGTGCACAAGCATGGATGCGCCCAGCAGGCATCACTTTGTACATCAAGTCAGCGCTCTAGTAATTTATTAAAGCTCTTTGGGCATGGATAAATTTTCAACTGTTTTCTCTTAAGTCAATAGTTTGATCCTCAACGTTTCTTTTCTGTCAAGTCATCTTGGTGTTACTAGTTCATAACTAATGTTCAGAAACTTTCAGAAGTGGGGTTTTGAGACTTCGTGTTTACATTGCTTTCTTGTGTCCAGGAGCAAGCCACTTTATCGCAATTGCCTGTACTGTGAGGTCATATATTTTCTTTAAGAAAACATTTAAAGTTGCACATAAAATTGACAAAGAACTTTCATATTGTTTGAATTTCAGAAAACCTGACGACAGAAACACGGTTCAACACGTACCCGGTGATCGTGTCCAAAGACTCCCAGCGTCTGGTCGGTGTGGTGTACAGAAAAGAGCTCATCCATGCATTAAGTAAGTTCGGCGCATCCATGTTTGTACACAAACCTATGGAAAACCCAACATTTTGTACGGCTTTTGGTGTGACTGCGTTTGTATTCTATACAGGTGCGTTATCGAAGCCGATACGCCCAAAACTGAAACGCACGATCAGTGAATGAGCGTTTCATTTTGCGCTGCGCAAACAATGCAAATGTGTGCATGTACACGCTGCAGATGATTTGGGCCATGACGTTTTTTTTAACCATGACGCGCTTGTGTTATTTGTGTATGTTGTACTTGGCGCGTTGCATATAAAGTACACTTTCAAAATTCACTCCATCTACTTTCATTATGTTCTACAAACAGGCACATGAATTCAAAATGTCTGCGTGCAGGACGGATGAGGAGTTAGCTCTTTAGTAGTTTAATATAGTTCTATGGTCCTGTCACAGATAACGGGGATTGAACCAGGGATAAAAGGATGCTTTTCCTGACAGATGTTTGAATAGCATGTGACTTGACTTGAGAGTGAATGAGGCGTGATGAACTTGTGACTTGTGACCATGCGTTTAACTCAATCGTAATTCTTTCTTGTCTTGTTTTTCATGATCAGAGCAAGCCAGGAAGAACCAGACTGGCATCGTCAGCCAGTCCAAGGTCTACTTCACCCGGAAGGTCCCCAAGTTTCAAGTCCCTGGCATCCCGCAGCACCTCAGCTTGCTCAGTATCCTGGACGGTGTAAGTCTTACAGGGTCAAAACCTTGGACTCGTCTTGGCTTTGGGTTCAGGAGATTTTGGATACACAGATGAAGCCAAAGGCCGAGTCGAGGCCACGTTTTCAAAAATTCCTAAAAAAACTGTTTGATTCTTTTTAAAAAAAAGAACACGAGGTAGATAAAAAGGCTGGTTTACACTTTCAGGAGGTTGTTAAAAAGTGGGGGATGTGACACACATCCCTGCACTGTTTGTTGGCAAATTTGTACCATGTTGGCAGAAATGAAACACAAATAGGGGGGGGGGGGGGGGGGGGGAAAGCAGAGAATTAGTTCTAAAAGTAGATGTGAAGACCTTCATCTATAACTATATTTGTATCATTAGCAGCGCTCTCTAGTGTCAGCTGTCGGTGAATTTTCTAGTGGAGTAATGGAAATGTTATTGTTTCCAACAAATCAACAATCATAAAAGTAAGAATCGTTTTTTTCCTCCCTGTTGCAGAGTCCAGTGACTATCACTGACCAGACGCCCATGAGCACCGTTGTGGACATGTTCAAGAAACTCGGTATTAGAACGTGTCTTGTCACACATAACGGGTAAGTATCAAGTGAGAATGACATTTGAGAAACCCACTTTCTCCCATTTTCCAGTTAAACAACATTTGCTAATGCTATTAGACTTGTGATTTTGGGTACAATCTCCAGCCGCAAGACTTTCATTTGTCTTTATGACTTCAAATTGGCATTTTACCCTCACAAATACACTCTTGTGGTGGGAGACGGCTTATGCAAATTGTAGGGTGGGTAGCGCAGTTTCCTAAATGTATTTTAGAATGGCCAGGCTTGATTTCAGCTCAAGTTGACTTTCTTTATGCAACTGCAATTTTTACTTTTCACAAAATCTGTTATAGCTGTCTAATATTGACCGATAATTAATTGTTCAATGTCTTAAATATTTCTATTTTTGCATAACTTCTTCAAGGGCACTGCGTCATGAAATCCCCGAAAATGTCACGCTGTGGATTGTTTACTTATCCTATTTCGAACATCTGGTTGAAAGGAACCAACCTAATGTCTTACCGTTTAGGTCGTAAAAAACCCATTTGTTTCCTTTTCCTGTGGTTTTTCATGCAATGTACAATACACGTTGTGTGGCACATAAATATATTACACACAGCACGAAATGCACAAATGTGGGTTCTTACACGTCCGCAAAAGCGACCACTTTACAGCTGAAATCACAACTAGCACGAACAGCCCGATTTTTGGGGGTCTCAAAAGTGGACCCCGCAATTTGTTCTCGCACGAAATTACCCCAAAACACCTAGTTTCTAAAGGATGGTTGTGTGGTTGTTTATATCTTACTTTTGTTCAAAATGTGTTTGTAGCCCAAATGGTTGCTTTCCAGGACGCAGTGTCCCTTAGTATCAAATGCCCTTATGATCGTATCGTCACACCTGTTGTTTCGTGTTCACACTCTTTGCCAACAGACGGTTGCTTGGAATCATCAGCAAGAAAGACGTCCTGCGACACATCGCCGAGCTGGACCACCAGGACCCCGGTTCGACGTTCTTCCACTGAACAAACTCCGTCCAAATTTCCATAGTCCAAATTCCAATTCCAACAGAGACATGCCCTAGTTGTCTCCCATTTATTCTTAGCACCATGTGCTGTTTCCAATTTCTTCTACCAAACAAAATCTTCATTCTCTGAAGTGGGTGGCTGTGTTTCAGAGAAGTTCTACCTACCGTTGTTTGGGCGTTTATGAACTTTTCTTTGATTTTTCACTAACTTTTGTCATACTGAAAATTTTATATGTTAGTCAACAAGTTAACATTTTGTTGTCTGTGAAGGAAGTTCACAGTAATTTCTATGTGTATATTTCAGTACTTTAATTTGCAGCATTCACTCAAAGAGAAGTTGTGCTTGCAATACCTCTATATCATTTATTTAAAAAAAGGTTTGTTATATTATATACTAAGTATTATTTTTGATGTGGATTAGGTGGAATTTACCAAAAAAGTGACATTTCCCAAATTCATTCTTATTTCCATTTCATCATGCAAAGTTTAAAATAACACGAAATAAATATGTTGCAGGGTACTAAAAATTCCTCCTGCTTTAACTAACGATTTCCTTCAAAGGTTTATGCTCAGCAAAATGTAGTGTGTAATTAAGATAATTTATAGCTACGAGGTAAGTGGGCTGTGGGCTATGGGCTCTGTGCACAGGTACCCCTTCAACGGCCAGAAAAGGAGAGTTGGGGGTGGCCTAGACTGGTTCCCGATCCATCCACTGCGTATTTTGAATGATCCAAAGTTATTGGGGGCGAGGTTTAGTTCGGGAGCCTGACGCTCACCCGAAGACGCTGTAGCTAATAATAGCTTTGGCACATTCAGGAAGTCGTGCGTACTTCGCGCGCGAACCAGTACACTACACACATGCTGTGTATCCTGTCCACAGAGCTCTCAATAGTGGTAAAAATGCGCCCTCTTTTGTTGGCGCATAGAGCCAATAACCAAAGTAATGACATTATATTATGGAGAGAAATTCACTCCGCAAAATCTCAAAATTAAAATGTTGACTAACTTATGGAATAAACTTTCCCCTTTACTTTGGCAAAAAAAAAATGTTACAGATGATGTGCATCAATAGATAATTCTTTTGGCTTCACAAGTGACTTCTTGTTGGTGTTTTTTTTGGTGTTTTTTTTTAAATCAAACCATGTTTTCTGGCTCATGCTTATTGCTCATGTATTTGTTTACAAATAGTATTTCTGTAAGAGTACATGTAATTTTACATCTTTTCCATCAAAGCCAAAGTATGTCTGTATATCATGAGTGAAGCACTATATTTTATTTAACGATGGTTCAGTAAAACCAAACGGGGATAAACAATTAAAATTGTTTATGCTGACGTGTTGTTTTCGTTTGTACCATTTTATAGTGGGGCAGATAGGGGAAATATGTGGGGGAATTGTGCCTTTGATCGATGATACGAGCATGGCATTTGGCGAACAGTCGGAGTATGTCTTAAGAAAGATATTTGGCTATGTGGCCTTCGCAGATTTATCCTTTGAAAAAAATATTGGTAAAATATTAAGCAATTTTCAAAACGGCTGCCACTGCTTGTTATTCTACCTATATTTTTTTTTCCAAGGACAAATCTGCGATGGCCCTATAGCCAAATACCTTTCTCATGACATACTCTGACCGTGTGCCAAAGTCCATGCTTGTAAGTTGTATCATCAAACTTCAAAGGCACAATCCCATCACCTATCTGCCGTACCAATGAGTGAAGTAGACGTAAAAGCATGGGTCTATTTAGCCTTGCATAGGATATGCCGCCGATCGTTGACGCGTACGTATGGACAAATAATGACAAACGCCTTACCCAAGGGCGGATCCAGAACATAATTATTTTTTGGGGGGCCAAAAAAAAAATTGGTCCCCCAAAAAGTGGGTCAAAAAAATACGGCGTGGGGTTCGGGGCCCGCTTAAGGGCCCGAAAATTTTGTGCCAAAAAGTGTCCGCTAGCTGAGCTTGCGCAGTGGGCGCCAGACGCTATTTCAAGTTGGCACGTATGCTAAATAGTGTCCGGTGCCAAAGAGTGTCCGGGCGCGTGTACCGTACCGTGACGTCCGGCTGGATAGTATTTGGCTGACGTCATAGACGCATGACCAATCAGATCGCATTATGCTAATTGGCGGACACTGTTTGGCACCGGACGGTTTTTTGGAACGACACCGGACCATACTAAGGCCTAAAAAAAAAAAAAGTTATGTTGGCGTAACGGGCCAGAAAAAATAGGGTAGGTCGGTCGGGTTTTTTTTTTTTTTTTTTTTTTTTTTTTTTAAATCCCAGCAACGAAAATGACATTAAGCCGGTAGTAGTACACGATAACAAAAGAAAACAAGACTACTATTTGTATACTTTTAAACTCTGAGTGACATTTATTTCACTTTTTATGTCTTTCTTTTATAGTTTCTTGTTTTTGTGCAAATAAAAACAAAACTGTCAGATCGAGGAAAATTTAAGGAAGGCATGGTACATATCAAAGGTACATATCAAAAAGCGGAATCCAAAATCAGACAAAATGTTAGCCGTTTCATCTGGCATCGACATCTTTATATGGACCCGATTCTTCCTTGAAGTTTGTATGTTTAGCACGGTGTAACCCGCTTGTACACCATCGGCACAGCTCTGGGCGATTACCCCCAGCTCTAGACTCAAATTTATCCGCATTAAACGGTCGAAAATGACCGAAGATCCCCATTTGCCCTTGATGGAAACACTGTACGCTTCGGTACCGGGCGCCATGATGCGACGGCGTACGCGCGTAACCACGGGCCGGGGGCCGGCGCGGCGCGGCCGGGTCGTGTCGGCCGCCGGGATTACAGAATAGTTTACCATTTTTAGAATAAATATATATCAATTGTTATCGTGTTAAATAGTGAAAAATTAATTAAAATAATTTATATTATAATGAACTATTTTTTTTAACATGGAATAAATAGCGAAGTATTTTCAATAGTGTATGTAGCAGTTCGCGCCGTGCAACAGTCTAGGACGAGGCTATACATGTACTGTACACGTACATGTGCATCTATCATGCATGCATGGTGCATCGATCTCCGCACGCGCACTAGGCTAGGCCTGCGCGATCTTCTGCATGTTCGTTGTGTCATGGAGAGGAAGGTGCAAAACATTGTGCACTCCAAAGTTCCACGCGCGCTATCGTCATACAATTGAGGAGAAACGGTCAGAAATGGTTTCAAAACGTATTTAAAATTCATTTCTATAGATTTTAATTATATTTCTTCCCTTCAAAAAAAAAAAAAAAATATCCAGGGTCGGCCGCATTTTTAGGGTCGGTCGGGTTACGCCAACATAACACTTTTTTTTTTTAGGCCTAAGGCTAAGGTCAAACAATAATTGTGAACCATAAGTGGCCCTGAGGTTAGTTTTTTTGCATACCAATAGCATTGGGATAATGATGTGTTTGCGAGTGGATAATAGGTTGAAGGTCCACCCACTTGCTCTATCACCTAGTGTGCATAGAGTTAATCAGTCGAAAACTGGCGTGTCGATCGGCTACAGAGCGCTCACCAGTGCATGCAGTATAATTAACAGCGCACGGTGTTTTTATTTTAGCCAAAGAAACCCTTGGAGGTAAGCGCTCTTTCTGTATTATGTGTAGCGTGGCTAAAGGCTCAAAATGGGATGGTACCATAAGGTGATAGCCAACAGAGCAGGTAAAAACCCAGACATGCACGGCAGTCTGGTGCTCCGAACACATTCAATTCGAAAGCCCACTGTTGCATTATTAGGGGAAAATGGGGTTGGATAGCTCCCTTAATAATAATTGGTAGAACCATGGAGGAATAAGGTAGAACACCGATATGGTAAAAAAAAAAGGAAAGAATGTTATGATCCAGACACCACTTCTTTGGTTGTTTACGAAGTCTATGGAGAGTACAGTGCATTTCAAAGTATTTTCTAACAAAATTAGAAAGTTTCTCAGTCCCTGCATGATTCATTTGTTTTCAACATATTTGCAATGACTGACCCCCATTGAGATAATATATGATGGAAAAAGTGGCGCCATGATGCAATTTTCTTTCTAAAAAAAAAAAATCAGTCAAATTATTAAGGTTGTCATTATTAAGTCATGATAGCTGTTGTTCACGTTTAATATGCGCCTGATCTCTGTTTTACTTTACTTGTTCTTTTGCAGATATTTCAAAATGATATTCACACACTCTTGCAACCAACCGACAATCCAACTACCTAATAGCGCCCTCAGCGGTGTGAACCTGATTCCCGGGAGTGATTACAAAGGGTACAGTATGTACGAGGCTCGCATCGACGCAGCACAGACCGTCCCTCTCACGTCTCCCGAGGACAAGGCCTGCGTTCACTACTATTACTTTATCACCGGCTCGGGAAAATGTGAAAGGGAAGGCGGGAAAGAAGGCTACGATGTCGGCCCAGACCACGTGGTGGCGCTCTCCTCTAATATAACGCACACGTTGAAGGTGTCAGCTGAGGGCGCCATGCGTGTCTTGGTAGTCTACTATCCAGACGTCACTGTCGCCTACAAGTCTCTGGAGTTGGTCAAAAGTTTGTCCGACCTGGTTGGCACCGAGAGGGATATTTCGTTTGGGAACGGGAATAGTCGTCGTTTCACCGTCAAGAAAGATGGCTTCCCACTGACGATCACCAACACGCGTGTTATGGCCTCGACGTCATCCAAACAGGAATACAAAAATCAAATCGAGGCAGCCTATTACATCGCTGGAACAATGACCTACCACTGGCAAGATGGCGACGGCGGCTGGACTGGCGAGCAAACTAAAGTGGACAAGAAGAACGGAACCAACTACTTCATGAATATGCACGACAAGCACGAAATGGTTGCCAGCGACAACGATTGCTTCTGTATCTGTGTTTTTAATCCTGCTTTGACGGGAAACGAAATCCATAATTACGGCAAAGATGGATTTTCGAGTTATTAGGCGGCCTGACGGTCGGCTCGAGATGCAAAGATTATAGTACCTCTTGAGCTCAAACCAATGAAAAAGATTAGCGAAGACGGTCAATTATAAGCTGTAGGGACATTTCTTCCATGATAAACACATTCAGATTGATTGTATCTTATAATTAAGAGATTTCGTAGGTATATGTGTGACAGTCATGAAAATATGCCTATTTTACACTAAACCAGGTTATGTAATTTTTATTTTCTCTTTACTTATCTTTACTTATTTTAATTTGTCTTCGCTCTTTACAGCCTATACAGGTAATAATCTATTGTTGTAACTTCACTTTATTTTTAACATCCTTCATACTTAGACATTTGGTCCATCATATTCCTCATTAATCACTCTTATTCTGCATTTTGGATATCATTTTGTTGATCATTTTCCAAGATGGCGGATGCCGCAAAGATTTCCGCGCGAACCACATATGATTGTGTTAAATAGATTTCATTTATTGTAATTGTAAGTTAGTTATTATACATTGTGATATTATTCTTTGCTAAAGACCGAACCACATAATTTTGTCTTCCCTCTTTAGGCCTACGAATAAATCAGCAAAAACTAAATGTTTGTCGCCGATTGCCTCTTCCTCAATTCGGCCCACCTGGGTCACATAGGCTATGGATAACACCGAAAGAAAAAAATAAATAGTTTAAAGGATCCATGGGATGAAATTTTATTAAGAACACATTTTGTGCAACTTTATACTCCTCTTAAAATGTATGAAAACTATCTTACGTATCTTTGTGGTTAATTTGATTGAAAAGTGCACTTCTTTAAACATTGAAACATTTTCCATGAGGGCGCTGTTGCTGGATGCCATTTCAGGACATAGACATCTAATAAACTAAAATTATTAGATGTCTATGTTTCAGGAAGACACTGTTCAGTTTAACGGTTTTCTGTTCACATTGGGAACCCCAAAATTTGCTTATTGAAAACATTTGCTCGTTGACAAAAGTTTGCTCATTGGACTTCTGCCATGTACTGACAAAACGACGAATCACCAAAGAAAAGAAAATTTATTACGACTGACAGCAAAAAAAAAATATCCAAAGGTCTGTCAACTTTTGGTGCTGAAATAGCTGTAACATTGAGGTTTCTGCCTGAAATGACATCACACTTTTGTTCAGTTACGTTCGTTGTTTAATACTGCAATAATTTAACCAAGTCTTTATCCCATGCATAAAATGAGTTGCAAACTTTTACCCGAAAACCGAACGTGTTGTACATTTTCAACATAATGTTTTGGCTTTACCCTGAGAAAGGTTGGCTCAAAAGTAAATAGAAGTGGATAACTGAGAACACTCAATGGTGCACTCCGGTACCATTCCGCGAATAGAAAAAAACTAGGGGAAATGCGGCAATTTGGGTTCAACTGCGCTGCTTATACACAGTTAATTCCTTTAACATTGGGGTTGCCCCTTTAATTTAACGTTGTCGAAGTGATTGTGATTGTTTGATTCCCTGGCGATCTCCCTGAGGTCTTAATGAATTCGTAGTAATAGCCTGAGTCGTTTGGTCTGGGAACCAGACTAAGTGATGGTGCGAATGCGCCAAACGAAAAATAGGGACTATAGGCTTCAACCATAGAGCTGTATAATTCAACCGGCACCATTGATCTCCATATACACAGTCTGTGTATATGGATATCAATGGCTTCAACCTATAACGGTATTTTTATACTCAGTTTGTTGATTATATTTGTAGAGAGTGTAATTAACTTTGTGAATTGACTTGACGTAACGAAAAGAGAAACGAGAATGCGGTGCACAGATAAGAGCGCATCGATACTAAATCTTAGCATGTAATCCGGCCTTATGCTGGATATGCAGGAGACGTTTCACGAGCTAAGGTGAGAGACACTTTTTGTTTAATTTTTGTATATTAATGATCAATTCTTTAATTTAACAAGTAATGCCTGATAATTTGCACCAGTTCGTGCTGACTCCGGAGGGATAGTTTTTGTCGACATAAGCTTTGGGGTCAAGTTGGGTCAACTCGTGTGTGATATCTGCGGCGCAAAGTTCCCGCTACCCTAGCCCAGGTTGGACGACGTCTTCATTGCATTACGACTGATTCTGGACACATTATTTTTCATATTTTTACCTGCGCTACCCTAGCCCAGGTCGGACGACGTCTTCATTGCATTACCGTACCTATTCAGGCGGCCGAAATGTGTCCGTCTGCCTTTCTCCTACCAATAGGCCTACAACTTACTACAAAAAAGTATAGTCGTGTTCCCTAACGTGGCGCACTTCGAAGCTTACCCAACTTTCCTCGTGTAGTGTTGCCAAACCTCTTTGTTGACAAACCTCAAATTCATGCAGTAAAGTACTACTAGTACTTTACCTTATTAATGCTTGCTATTTAACCTCTGTGAACAATTTCGGTTTCAAAAAATTTAAGCCGAAATTAAAAAACGGTGGCGTCCGGAAATTGGGCACAAATTGGCGGAGTGTTTCCTAACGTGGCGCACTTAAATAAATCTCGGAAAATTCCAAATTAACATTTAAAAATTTCTGTAAACTTGATAAATTCTGATAAATCATTGTTATCTCTACTTACATACCCAGTAAGATGTTTGTCAGAAAATTATTTTCTTATTTTTCGGGGCATTTTCAAAGCCAAAGGGTTCACTTTGCACTTGAAAATAAAATCGGAAAATCACGCCAAAATAATGTTTTCTTTTAACTTTGTAGCGGGTAAATAAACTCGTGATTTACGAAGGGGAGTGTTTAGAACTTGATGAAATTCCACTTTCTGTGAAATTTCAGTTAAACTTTTGCTCTAGCTAGGCGCTACAGGCGGAAAATCAAAGTGCGCCGCGTTAGGGGCCGCGCCACATAGGGGTACATCAACAGTACTAGTGAAGAGGGGCCATCAAACCACTAAACATTGGTTTTGTATCCTATTTAGGCCTACAGTAGCCCAGGTTGGACGACGTCTTTATTGTACACAACGGAGTCCAACCTGGGCTAGGCCTTCAGAAATTCTTCAACTTAAAGAGATAATGAATAGAACGCCTCCGACGATTTTCACCAGTTTGCCTAAGGCGAAATAAAAAACATGTTTAGCGTCCCCGCCCGCTTCCTTTTTGAAGGCTGTCTCCTTTTTTTCTTCTTTTTTTTAAACCGAAAAAAATTATAATTTTTTATCAATGACATCATTGTGGCCTCTTTATCTGTTGCATCTAGCCCATATAATTTATAAAGTTGTTCTGTCATTTCCTGAGTCCAAAGGCGGCCATTAAAGAAAAAACTGGCGGCCATCTTGAAAAAATAGCCCGGTTGGGCGGCCATTCTGGAGGGGAAAAAAAAGGGCCTCCCGCTTCATTTTTTCAAAAAGGCAGGACGCTAAACATGTTTTTTTTTTAAATTTTGCCACAGAGGTGGCGGCCAAGATTTAACGGACAAATGTGGGTTCGGGGTACGGCTTACCTTAGGTTAAATAAAATGAACAACAAGCTCACAAGTTAACTTGAAAGGCAGTTTATTTAAACTGTACAAACGCTCTTTAATATATGTTGAATTACTTGAGCGACAAAACAACAAAGTTACACAGCTCTTAACCAACCTACTGTGTAATATACAGACAATAGTCCTGAAACATAATGACGTCGCGCATGTTAATGTTATAGGTGGTGAAAGCACACATGTAAACAAAACGTTACGTCATGTGTTCTGTCTATTCCAACCTCTTAATGAACCTTTTAGTTGTTTTCCCCTTCCCCGGTGCCCTGCTCCAACATGTTGGGTTTAAGGCCCACGGGTTGAGATATTTTTCTCAGTGTTCTTATTTACTGACGATGGTGCCCCAGCAATGGGCAAAACAAATTCAAAGCTCAGATATTATTTAGATAATAAAACATGCCTTTATTTTCGAAATCAACAAACGTTAACTTTTTTCAGGAAAGAGTTTGGGGAAAAGGGTAAATAACATTTAACTACAACCACTGAAAGCAAAACCAATATAAATACACTCTTTAACCCTAACAGAAATCGCCAATCAAACCCCAATGGCATGTTTTGTTGGAATCTGTCAGGATGGGTACAGTACCCCTAAACTGACTGAATGTCTTTTACATTGGGTTGGCACACCTCCAGAATCAGTCAGAAATATGTATGTGCAGTTTCCCATATGGTGTTGGAATTTGCCCGGATGGGTATGGTCCCTAGTAAATCATGTTAGGGAGTTAGGGTTAAAGTTTTAAATAATGAAAAATGGGACCAGACCATCAACACAAAATTTTGAGCATTTGTCAGAGAGTCAAGTGATCAAGTGAGTTGGAGTGACATACATGTACTGTGTTCAGTAAATATGACAAAAAAAGACTGGATTGAAAGTGGAGGACTTGCAAAGTAGGTTCAAAAAGTCGAGATCAAAAAGTACTTTATATGGAAGTACAAATCCTACAGTGTGTATATCATAATGTGTCGTCATTCTAACCCTAATACATAGTTGATGCCTTGTACGATTAAGAATATGACTGGTTGCCAGGCAACGAGGTAGCGGATCCAGTCAAGCAGTTGACCGAACATGACGTGAGGGCGCTCCCAGCTGAGGACAAGGTTCAGGAAAGGTAGGGTACAGATCAAATTGTGACATGGAAAAAAAGCAGTGGCAATGAGTGGGTCTCCTCATAACAAGTTTATAACTTGAAGGCAATCTTTGCAGAAAGGTCGAGCAAATTCAAACAGAAATCAAACATTAGACCAGTGAACTACCAGCAATTAACCCAAACTCCCTTGACCAAACTGGGACAACAAGGCAACAGCAGATCTAGGGGGAGGGGGGCAACGGGGGCCATGCCTCCCCCCCCCCCCAAAAAAAACCCAATTTTTTTTTAGTTCTGTAACCAAAAAGAAAAAAAAGGCAGCCATTGAGTATATACCACCCACAAAACTAACAAAAGCAATACATGTGCACTCCCCTTGCTTTTCATATTAAATTTGGGGCGGAAAAATTGTTGAACCCACTTTTTCGGGAACACAAACAATTTTTGCCCACCCCCCCCCCAAAAAAAATTCAGGTGAAGTAGTCACACGTGTGCACAACAGGATCTTTGTAGAACGGCAGGAAAGTGTTTTGTAATTCATTGTGATTTATAATTGTAATCCATATTTGATTTTCTGAAGTGGTAGTCCAATAAAAGATCCTTAAAGAAGTGGTAACAGAATACAATGTACATGGAAATGTTCCAAGGTAATATTTTTTCAAAGGATACGGGTTTTTGAACATTCTTTTGAGGTCGACTTTCTCCTTGCAGTAGGGACAAATTTGCCTCTTCCCTACGATGCACCAGCCTCGTATGCAGAACTCATGGAACCTGTCATTATCAGTTAAAAAAAAAAAGAATTACTTATAGGGTCTCATACCCAAGTCCAAGAACCAGACCTAACATGAACATGTTGCTGGATCATGCACATGAATGAGCTATTGATGAGCCATGCTATAAGCACATTTCACCCGTCCTGGCTCTCTGCTGTACATTGCAATTCAAACAATTGGCTGTTCCAGGTTCATTGGCCTTTTGGCTCCGTGCGGCAACAAAGAGGGCATCCTTTTACCTAGCAACAACGTCCCTTGCGTGGCACATTTAGCTGGTTGACGCGCACCGTTCCTTGTGTGTGACGCACGTACACCAGGGGATTTGTATTATGTACACGCAGTGGTACGGCCGCATGTCGTGGCAAAATTGCAGTCAGGCAAGATGGCATAGGTCGGTCACCCCCAACTTTACTTTCGTTGCCGGTGAGGGGGTACGTGTGAAAGGAGCGGATATCCTACATACTAAGGGTTCTTCAACATCCCTCTCCTTTTTAACATTGCGGGGGGCTTTCTTAATCTAATGTTGGTCTTGGTCTAACTTATTTTTTGTTAAAGAGCCACACACTTCCCTCAACATATCTCATTAGATAGTTGAATAAGCCACATTCTTCCTCTATTACAAGAAAAAAAAGTGTGAACACGAAAGCAACATTTCCAAAAACATGGACATGACTAGTCCTCTCACCTGTGTTTGCAGGTCAGCTCATAGACTCGTTCCGCCACTTCCTCGTCCTCATCAGGTATGTAAATCTTCTGACCACAGACGGCACAGATATTGTCTTCTAGGGCTCGGCCTGGCAACCCTGTTTTTGTGTAGTACTGGAAGGGGGAGAAGTTTCATGTTGAGTATTTGAAGAAACAAACTGACAATCCAAAAGTAACATATTGTCTGCAAGTTTCAATTATTTGATGTTGGGGTGTTTATGGTGGCCCTTGTGGAGCCAGTATTCAACAGGGGCTGCACCTAGTGCTTTAACTTGAGAAGTGAATAAATTTAAACTGCATTTAAAAAAAAAATTAAAGGAAATCAAATCACTTTTCAAAGGGAAAAGCAAAGTGAACACAACGCTTCAATCAAATTTGAAATGAGAAATGAATTCATGTCAAAGATGACTGTGTTATCACAACGAAACTTTGCTTGCTGAAGTTGTGAAATTTACCTATTTGAGGATTAAATTTAAATCAGTATTTTTAACACTTGATATCCATGTATACATGTACATGTACACATGTACATGTATACATGTACACACACGTTTCATGTGTTCCTGCATGGCATTACGCCTGAGGACAGACAACAAAAGGAGCACAAAGGGGCCATTGATCCTCGAAGGAAGGTGCCTATTGTCCTCGAATGCAGGTTTGTGTGCTTAGTCTATGGGAGAGTGTTATATTACAGGGACAAAGGAAAACACAAAGCCAATCCTCGGAAGCATAGCAAAAAACGACTGAGTGTCTATGTGCATGTGCATGTACATTGGGTTATTGTGAATTTTGTAAAGGATACACATAGTCAGTTGCCATGGTGGTTAACAAAAGTAAAACTCCAAGGTATTAAGTAGGAAACCAATCAATTTTGGGACTCATAGAGCTACATCACTTTTGTATTACCCCTGCTCATCAGGCCCACAAAGCACTCCTTATTAAATCTCAGCTAACTGGAGAGTAAATAGCTTAATGCTACCATTGCAGGGACAAATTCCTCAGAATGCAAACTCAATAAGCAAATTCACTTGTTCCAAATCTTTACATGACGTAATTGTACCACTTATGTTTGTCCAGCTATCAACTAAAAAGCATGTGATCTCGAGGTGCGTGACCATGATACGCGTGTTCAGACGGCACTGGACTATCAGACTCAACAGGCCCATGTTTGTCTATTTCTTAAAGCTGCTGTTTGCAAATCTCTTGTGGGCTGAAGGTTATTGACAACCCTGATTGCTGTTAGTAAATAAATGTTAATAATTAAGCCAGTCAGTTTTTTACTGTCAATGAGGCACTGGCTAATAAGGAAATAAATATGTTTTTGGCCGGTTTTAAACAAGTACGTTTAAAACCAGCTAGGGGCCTGCCGCCAGGACAGAGATAGTGGCCATAGCCCATAATGACCCAAAACACCCCTCTGCCATGTCTATGGTACCGGTATGTGCCTCGCGCGCTTAGTGCTAAAAATCTCCTTTTATGGAGATTGACGTGCACGGCGCATTTGGCGCAGAATGCAGCGGTGCAGAAATAAAGTGTTTAAGAGCAGCTGGTGTTTTATCAGTGGTTTCAAACTACCCACATGATGGGCTCTCATCCAATAACAATGGGTAAACTCTCTTAGGTATGTCAATTAACCACAGCCACATTAATAATAACGATGGCAATTATTTCTGGGAAGGCCATAATTATATACATATGTATTTTTGCCGTATAGGCCTAAACAAAGTAACCCACTGAGTATGTTTCCTATAATTTGATGTCAAATTTGATGGAATATGATGGAAACAAATTAGAGACCTTGCAACTTGCATGGGGGGGGGGGGGGCGCACGGAGTGTTAAGTCCTGCTGCATGGAATCTAATAATCTAAAACATAATTTCTTGCGTGTACATGCTTTGAAACAGGTTGTTTACTTCACGAAACCTGACAGCTCAGGGAAAGCACAGTAATTAGGGTAGAGTAATTTAGTGTAACATGGTGTGTCATTAAAACCACTGCCTCAGCATAGACAAGACTGTCATCACTCACTTTGTTGTGCACGTGCTTCAGGTTTCTTGGTTCAGTTGAGCTGATTACATGTGGATAGACGTACACAAATATAACAGAGAGTGGGTGTCACTCTGAACTAGAAATGACTTAACTACAGTAATGCACCAACTACAGCAGGATGCAGGTTGTACTTGATATCTGTACAATAGGATTCTGTAATTCTGAATAGGAGAACACCTGTACACCTACATTGTACATGAATATTAGGTTTCTTTTGGTATTTTTGAATTAATGTAATGATAAGGAACTTCAAAAGACGATATACAACAAAAAATATACCATAGAGTCCTGCCTGCTTAGATATGGAGTTTGCCTTTCTGGAAATTAATATGACGTTCAATACGACGGGAGAGGTGGTTGAGCATGACATTTGGCTGACGCCCATTGGTGTGTTCGCTGCTGTCTTCATGACACTCACGATTGTTCTGAACTTGCTGCTGAATCCGTTTATGCTTGCTACCTTGCATCGGGCTAAGGGCATCAAGAGCAGCACCAAAGTGTTCCTGGCTTCTCTGACTGTTAGTGACCTACTAACCGGGGTGTCTGAAGCCTTCCTCCTAACACAGCTCTACACCGGAGTCTGGCTGATGGGTGACTTTCTATATACTGTCTTCAATTTCCTATCATATACCTTCTACGTTGTGAGCGTTGTGTCAATCTTGTTGCTGACTATCGAACGGTTTATTGCCATCTCCTACCCGCTTCACTACCCTCGCTTGATGACTACGCGGAGATCCAAGATCACTGTCTGCAGCTGCTGGACAGCCATCATTCTGATGATCACTGTCATGTTTGGGATTGACTGCAAATGCATGCTTATCGATGGGATATGCCGGAGCGAACAAGGACAATACGACTGGAGAGTATACTTCTATGGTTTTGCCATGACTCTGATACTAGTCACCATCATCATTCTTTACGTGCGTATTTCTCTCATCGCCCACCGTCACTCGAGGGATACTACCACTGTCAGCCAAACGAATGGAAACCCAGGCAACCACAGGCAAATCAACACCCGAGCCACCATCACCATCATCATCATCACAGGGACGCTCATTGTCACCTGGATTCCAAGTATTGTCTTTACCCTGACGGCCACCAATGAAGTCTGGGATTTCAAGACCATTAAACTGGTGGACGCTTTGATGCTGTCAAACAGCTGGCTGAATGTAGTCATCTATTATCTACGGAATAAGAATCTGCGTCAGGCACTACGTGGCCTGCTGTCAGCAAAACCAAATTGCAAAAGCCAGTGCTAATGGGCTCCATGCACCAACAAAAGAGGGCGCCCTTTTACCTAGCAACGAGGTCCCATGGGCGGGACACATACATTTTGCTGATTGATGCTCGCGCACCATTCCTTGTGTGGCCATCAGGTAAGATGGCGTCGATCGGTCACCCCCAACTGTACTTTCTTTGCCGGTGAGGGGGTACTTGTGAACAGAGCGGATACACATCACCCAATTAGTACATTGTATTTATATATAATACCCTACCTGTTATTCTTCTAACATTTAGCCCTTCATTGTCCCAAATTTCAAGGTGAATCAAATCATTAAATTTGCATATAATGCACATCTGCACAAACTTGTCTTGCCATCGGTAAATGGAGATAGATAAGCTGCTACCAAAAAGTTCTGCACTTCTTGTTCTTAAGTACAAAGTTGTGAAACACTTAGAACTTCAAATTCACTTGTTCAAAAACTGTATGTACCAATATATGTTTTGTTCAGCAATCGACTAAAAAACATGTGATCTGGAGGCGCGTGCCTTTGATGTGTGGGTTCATTAGGCTCTTAAATATCAGCCCCGTGACCTCCTTCATCAGTGAGTTGTTTCCACAGGACTGTATTGTCTATTTCTTAATGCCGTTGTTTGCAACTCTCTTATGGGCTGAAGGTTATTGACGACCCTGATTGCTGCTCATAAATTACCTTCTAAAGCCTGTCACTAATTACTGTCACCGTTAATGACAATTAACCACAGAGAAATTAATAATTACAAAGGCGATTCTGGGAAAGCCATCAATATATTTCATGTATTTTGGCCTTAGTAACCTAATGAGAAAATAATTTGATGCCAAATTCTACGGAATATGATGGAAACAAATTAGAGACCTTGCAACTTGTGTTTGTGTGTGGGCATTAGGGAGCACAGAGTACACTAAGTTGTGCTACATGGAAACTAGTGATCTAAAACAGAATTCTTGTGTACATGTAAAAGCTTTTAAATATAAATATATGAAGGTTATTTACTTCATAAAGATTGACAGGTCAGGAAAAGCACTTTACTCAGGATGGAGTAATTAGGTGTTCTTTTCATGGTGCATTAATCATTAAAACCACTGCCTCAGCATAGACAAGACTGTCATCACGCACTCTGTTGTGCAGTGCTTACACACTGGTTTACATATAATAGAGAGTGGGTGTCACTCATTCTGAACTAGAAATGACTTCACTACAGTAATGCACCAACAACAGCAGGATGCAGGTTGTACTTGATATCTGTAAAATAGGATTCTGTAGTTCTGAATAGGAAAATACCTGAACATGTATGCCTACACCGTACATAAATAAGGTTTCATTTTGGTCCTTTTCATTGAATCTAATAAGGAACTTCAAAGACGGCAGATGTCGAAAAACATACAACAGAGTCCTGCCTGCTTAGATATGGAGTTTGCCTTTCTGGGAATTAATATGACGTTCAATGCGACGGGAGAGGAGGTTGAGCATGACATTTGGCCGACACCCATTGGTGTGTTAGCTGCTGTCTTCATGACACTCACAGTTGTTCTGAACTTGCTGCTGAATCCGTTTATGCTCGTCACCTTGCATCGAGCTAAGGGCATCAAGTGCAGCACTAAAGTGTTCCTGGCTTCTCTGACTGTGAGTGACCTACTAACCGGGGTGTCCGAAGCCTTCCTCCTAACACAGCTCTACACCGGAGTCTGGCTGATGGGTGACTTTCTCTGCACAGCCATCAGTTTCCTGTCACACGCCTTCTACTATCTGAGCGTCATGTCAATCTTGTTACTGACTATCGAACGGTTTATTGCCATCTCCTAT